CGCCGCTACAATCGAGGCCGAACATCCCCGCACAATTTGCTAATGATGAAGGCTTCGTTTTCGGCGGGGGAAAACTTCCGTTGGTTTTCCCCCTTTTTTGGGTTTAATCATTCGGCCTCCTTTAGTTTTTATTCTTGGAAATGTTTTTTTCGGTTTGCTCTTTCTGTATTGTATTATTCATTTAGAAGTGGCTGACGGGGTTTGTGTGTGTGTGTGTGTGTTATTGTTGTTGTTTTCGGGAAGCAGGTTCATTAAAGTCTGTTTGTGCGGCGCAGCCTTTGGGATGCTCCCGCGCGCTTCTGCGCTGTCGGTTAAACTGAAAACTCCGGCGCAATTGTCGTAACAGATAAATATTAAAAAGGGCTCCAAACCCCGCTGGAACATTTTGTTGAATAATTGATGCCCTCCTGTTGTTTGTCGGCTCTGGGTCATGAAGGGGTGGGTGGTGGCGTTAGGGGAGTGGTGGTGTAGCGGTTAGCGCGCTGTGCTACAAACCCGGCTACCCGAGTTCGATTCCCGCTCACGGCCAACAGTAATGATTACATGAACCGTTCCTGGACCTCCCCTAGGTCGACCTAAATGAATACTTTGTGCGGTGTGTAAAAACATCGCCACTAGGGAGACAAAGGTGGCTAGGCATGGTGCTGGCCACCCACCCCCTCGTGTGCCGTTCTGGGCTTCATCGGTGCTTGCTAACAGCACTTGGCCCAACAGTCTGTTAAGGCTATACACGGGGGGTCTTTGGTAGTGGTGCTATTGCCTGTGGGTGGGAGTGGTGGTATTGGGGGTGGTAGTGACGTTGGTATTGGTGGTGGTAGGTGGTAGGGGTGGTGGTCGTAGCGGTCGGTACTGGTGGCGGTGGTGCTGCTGCTGGTGGTGCATGTAGCATGTGGTTGCGATGACGTCAGACCTCTGTGCAGTTCTCTCATTCGCGTTCCTCCATCTGGTTCTCCCCTCCCTGTGCGGTGACCCCCCCGCCCCCTGCACTGCGCTTCTGCACACACGTGCACTTATATGGACTTTGAGCCGTTGCCCAAAGACGAGCAAGCCCAGCAGTGCCGTCCGAGGCCCATCCCAAATCCTACGGGAAACCGGCCGAAAAACCGAAGTTGTCGGGCAGCTTTCAGGCAAAGGAAATAATAATCGGTCTGGTGGCTGCTCATTTGCTGCTGATTTGGATATTTTCTGCCGAAAAATCGTTGTCAAAACAATTTCCGCCAGTGCACCAAACATTGCGCGTAACGCTCCTCGTGTCTGGCGTTGGTCGTGGCGAAGGTTTTACGTAGTCTGTTTACCACGGTGCGAAACAAGTTGGATTTCATTTTACTTTTTTTGCATGACGGCAACACATGGCTTCAAGGGAGATGGGAGGGGGGGGCGACCTTCGGCTTTGAGTGGTCAATCCATCTCAAAGACAGCCTAAAAGGATTCGCTGCCGCTCATCTCAATTCCACGGGAGGACACGAGTCGATTTATAGGCGGTTGGGACTCTGCGGGGAGAAGCATTTGATGTCCGGTACAATGAAATGTGTTTACGTGGGGCAGAGATCGGCCATCCTTACCATCTACGCTTCATCTAAAGTCAATGCTGCACATCCCCGGCATTATTTTATTTTTTCGTTTCAAGGCGTTCGGAACCCTGGGGAGAGAAGTAAATGGAGTGATCATTGGAAATTGTTTCTTACGGCAAGGGATGACAATTTTTATTTGCATGCTAATGACCCGGGAAATGTATCCTTACGTAAGCCCTTTATTTTAAGAACCTCTGTGCGTAGTTATTTCTTGAATGCAGCGTAAAACGCTATGCTGTGAAAGGGATTTAAACTGGCCTGTCCTAGGAGTGGGCCTTAAGACGTGAAAATGTATTTAAAACAAGAATATTCATATATATGAACTCTGTATGTGTGGTGGACGGTTTTTGTCTTGTTTTCGGGAGCTCCACAGCACACACCGCCTGCAATAAGGTTTCCACAACAATTTGTGCACACGTGTGCTTTGATCGATTCATTCACCTCCTTTGATTGTGTCGTCTTTGATCGGCTAGTCAAGCTTGGCTCTCGCTCCGCCGCGCTCTTCACAAGTCACTTTCTCAGCCGTGGTTTTCATTCAAGCGGTAAACGTTGAGAGGGGCGTCACGATGTCGCCAAACAGCAGTCCGTGTAGTGGATACGCTCGCTTTGGCGATATTACTCATTCCGACGGCAGACTCATGACTGGCTTGGGAGGGAAGTTTGCACCGGTTCACCACCTGGACCGCTGCCTTTCCCTCCCCGTGCTCTGCCTCGTGGCCTCCCAAGTCGTTCCCCCGCTCTCTCCTCGGAGAGCGAGCGAAACAGCGTGGCATGCTGCAAGTCGAACTAATGAACGCTATCAATGTGGCGGTGCTATAGTTGGCGCACGGCTGGGCTGCACAACCGGCGACCTGAGTTCCGTTGGGAGACACTGCTCACGTCAGCGGCGAGCGATGCCTGACCGGGTTCTGGGACCCCACTCCCCCATTCACCGACAAACGCTGACCAGCGCCATGAAGTATCGTGAAAGGACCCTGGGAACGATTGTTAAAGAGCGCTTTATAAATCAAAGGTATTAAATTATTACTATGACCAACCTTGGCATTAGGAGGCCTTTATCCAGCAGTGTATTCACAGTGGTCCGTTGTTTTGGACAGTGTCGTTTAACTGGCGACTTGCATTCAGGCTGCTGATCGCTCGGCACGACCTCCAGCTGGAAAGTGGGTGCATCGGTAGCCATAGCTACGGCGAGCGCATGCGAGGAGCTGCTGTGTGAGTTTATATTCCGTTAGCCCGATTCACGCAATTTCATGCAGATTAAGGGAGGTGTACATCTTGGTTGGTTTGGCAGGGAGAGGTGTCCCCTCGGTGATGGATCGCCGCGGTAATGCACCGACACAACGCCACCACCACCCCCGCTGCCCGGTGGTAGTGGTGGTGGCGGTGTGGCGCGCGTGCACGCACGCCACACTGCCACCACCACCGCCCGTCGGTGCTGTGCCGCGAAAGGTCGCGCGCCAAGACGCAGACGTTATCTGGCCGAAGTGGTGTGTATTTAATCTTCAATTAAGGTTGTTATTTCCTGTGGTGACACTCGCAAAGCCCATCGCTCAGTAATGTGGTGCGCGCGTGTGTATTATGAAACATCTGCACAATGGCTTGAGAGATTCTTGAGATTCCAGTGAGGGGCAAGGTGCGTTCACGTGCCACGAGACCGGTGAAGCTAATGATCCGGGGCCCACCGATTGTTTCTCGGCCGCCGCCACGTGTCGGGTTATTGGCGAAGCTACCAAGGTGGTGAGCTCCATGTATTAATGTAAAATAATAATGGTATTTTATTGATCCACTGCTGGATGAAGAGCTCTGTAGCTTCTTGACCGTACTTCAGCACGACGGTCGTTTTGTGCATTGGTGAATGGGTGAGGCCCGTGATTGGTTCGGATACAACTGAGGTTAGTCACAACTGGGATTCAAACTCCACTCGACGCCGTTATAGTCCGTGTATGATGTTTTGAGTGCAGTTCTCGCATGATAATTGATAAGCATCACGAATAATCAAGTGCTCGCAGTCATCATCATCTTATCAGCAGCAGCAGCACCTGCACCATCACTGTCGTTATCATTGCCCACTATTAAACTGTCCACTTCGATCATTCCCCGACAGAAAATATTCACCGGGCGATTCCAGAAGCCGTCCACTGGCTCGCTCGCTCGCCTGCCTTGACATTGCAATGTCAACTCCCCGGGTGTATGAAATAAAAAAAAAGCACATCAGATGCCATCACGAGTTTTCGCTCGGTATTAGCCGCTGGGCTATGTCCGCATGAGAAAATGCAAGCGTGCGGTTAGCACCGGGGGATCAACGCCGTTGCCGTGTGGGTGGCCTGCGCACGCTACCGGAGCTGGTGAGCGTGCGGTGAGGACACGGAAGTTCCGTGTGAAGGAAGCAACGCATTTTGCGTTCCTCTTTTCTTTCTTCATTGCCGCCGTGGCTGCCTTGGTCGGTTCGGTCCCACAAAGCCACGCACGGCTCGGGGCTCGCGTCGCAAACGCCGCCTCCTCGATGAGGAAGTGCGACCATCGCTGTTGGTGCTCAACGTGCGCGGCTTGTTTATCGCGCTTGCCCAGGAAAGCTCGCCGATGCATTTTTCGGGTTGCACCGCGTGCTGTCCGACGTTCTGCCGACCTTGTAGCTTCGCTTGGGGGTGAACCGCCAAGTCGGGTGCCTGAACAAGCTCCTAGCACGTGGAGCAAAACGTCGGACTTGGTGCCGAGCGAGTCGCGGCGCATTGCGAGAATGCATCGGAGTGCTCTGCTCGTTGCTCAAAGCTCACCACGTGGTTTTGTTCAACGTCTGTGATGACAACGGCGTGAGACCTGGCTTGTCCTGGCCGTGTTTGGGAGCACGGATACATTTATCCGCGACCGTTGATTATGATGATGATGAAATTTGGTTAAAAGTAATGTAACAACTGGTTTAGAGAACGTTATGCCGTGATTTTCCCCTTTCCAGTTTTGTTTCACTCTCGTCGAGGGAGAAAATGCACACGCGGCTCATGTAGATAGCGGTGAAATCACCTTCAATCGAATGTCATTTTCTCGTCGGCTACCGACCTGTCACAGCTGAGGTCTCTGTTGTTAAACTGCCAATTATAATGAAGGGGGGTGCGTGGCGTGAATTCGGAGCCGTTTTTGGAAGTCTGCGAGATGCTGCCTCGAGGCAAATCCATCTCACCGGGATGTGTTTTTTGACTTTTGGATGGCACTCGCCATAATTTGAAAGACCTGAAATAGTAGGCAAAGAACACTCGATGCTCGAGGGCTTTTTTTCAGCATGCGTGTCTTTTAACACAGGTGGGATTAAACTCTTATATTTGTCATAAAAAAAACGCTAAAACAACACAACCAGCTTCAGGGCTGACGAACCCGCGTCGCTGGTTCCGCTCACGCTGCCGTTGCGCCTGTTCCGCCCTCCGCCGTGTCGCGCAGACCACCAGAACTATTTCGGCGTTGACGAGAACCTGGGCCCCGTGGCGGTGAGCGTCCGGCGCGAGAAGATCGACGAGGGCCGCGAGAAGGAGAGCTCGCACGGCCCGCAGTACCTCTACCGCGTCGTCTTCCGCACCAGCGAGGTGAGGAGGCCGCGGGCAAGAACCTCGTCCCCGTCGTGGCGTGTCTTGGGCCCGTGCCGGCGGCGAGTTGGTGATGGCCGGTGAGGGTTTGGGTGTTGCCATAGCGCTGGCGGTGTTGTCACGGCAGGCTCAAGTCAGATATGTTCTGTAAACCTTGCAAAGGCGTTAACGTGTAGCACCTTCCTGTGACCGCCTTCAAGCAACGAGAGTGGTGCGAGTACCGACTGTTCTTGCTTGAAATTCACTTTGAGTAGGGCAGCATCACAGCTCAGAATCATCAGCTTTCTTTAGGCTGGAAGAATCCGATGAGCTACGAAGCTTTCTTTCACAGATGTCCGGGAAGGGGGGCGGGTCAGCAAGTTGCGTGCTAGGTGCCTCTCGCTAGCTTTTGATCACTGGGGGATTTTTTTTTCCCCCCCAGGCGAGCTTGGGTTTCTTTTGTTAACAATAGTAAGTTAACACTGTTGATTGCTTTTATTATGGAACATCATTGCCTTCACAAGGCTTTGAATAAAACAGCTGTGTTGCACGGAAATAAAAAAAAAGGCATAGGTGAACATGGAAACAATTTCTTGGCACGCAAGTTGAAAGTTGACCCAAATAAATGATTTGTTTTCTCTACCGCATTTGCATAGCGGCTTTGTTACGGAAATAACAATTTTCCGTTGTGTTGATGTTAAACAAACGTTACAGTTAAAAGTGGTGGGATGGTTAGCGCACCAGACTTGCAAACCAGAGGGCTCCAGTGCAGTGTTGTCTCCCGGCGTGGGCAGGAGAAACAACGATGGCAAGTTTTTTAATATCCCCCCCCACCCTGCCACCGCCTCTCTGCTCCCAGCAGTATTAATGGCGGCAGCCACAGTTAGTCCATTGGCCGCTCGCGTGTGGTGGGTTCAGTGTGGGTGCACCCAACTCTTGCAAGACTTCTGGTTGGCCTGGAAGAGTAGGCCAAAAACCCGCGAGAGTTCGCTCCCGCGGAGCGCTCCCTTCCGCCAGCAGTGCTGTAAGCAAGCGATTGCAGTGCCGCGCCGTCACCTCTCGCCTCGAATTAAAAGCTAAACGTCCGGTGTTTCACATTAAGTAAACAACTCAAAGCTCATGATTGCAGCTGGCGCAGCTGGGTTTGAGGTCGGACGGACGCCCCTGATCTTGTGGCGGCGGGGGTGGGCGGCGGCGGTGGCGCCGGCGTTGCTCGTGCCGTCCGCACTCCAAATCCCCGCGCCGCCGCCGAGACGCGTGACGGTGGCGTGTGAGTGCGGCCGAGGTGGCGCCACCGCGGAGCTAAAGCTTCAGAGCGGCGCCCACCCTCGCCGGGCAGGCTGTGGGGCGCCGGTGAGGGACGCGCTCCTCCGGATTACGGATTATTGTCGTCGCCTCTCGAGTCTGCTTACGCCGCTTCCGTGGAGGGAGCGGGGGGGGGGAGGCCGGGGTGAAGGGCTGGCGGAGAGTCGATGGGCAGTTCCATGAATTGGGACGCTTTAAAGATGTGTGGGTCATCATGTAATCGTGAAGTTTTTTTTTCGCTTGGGCGTAGCGTGTCGGCCAATTCGAACCGTAATTGGGATGTAATTAATTTGTCCGTCTCTTCCGATGAGGGGGAAATGTTGAAAGTGCTGCCACGTTGTTAGACGTAGTCGGAAACAAACTGGCGTTTTTGTCCACGCTGGGGTGGCGAAGGCGCGTGGATTTTCGCGTGTGTGTCAATCCGGTGACTTATTCCGTAAATAAGTAATGTGTTTTTTAATTATAGACAATTAACTTCAAAACGACATCTATTATTAGGATGATTTTGAAATTTTGATTGTGAGGTTGCCTCATCTAGGGAGGAACTGTCATGAAAGTGCCAGGGAGGGGCAGGGGCAAACGCTCAAATAAATAGTGATATTACGTGGCTCCTGTGTATACAAAGACACAGATCCCCCGTATAGCCTTAACAGACTGTTGGGGAAAGTGCTGTTAGTGAGCTCCTATGAAGGCCGGCACGGTGCACGAGGTGGTGGGTGACCAACACCTCGCCCCGCCACCTTTGTCTCCCCAGTAGCAATATTTACACACCACGACCGGGTACTCATTTGAGGCTGAGTGGACCTAGGGGAGTCCCAGGACCTGTTCAGATAATAATCATTATTGGTGTTAGTGGCCGTGACCGGGAATTGTACCCGGGTTGTCGGTCTTCTAGCAAAGCGCGCTAATCGCTGCACTACCGCTACACACACACGAACACTTACGCCATCCAATAAAGTACTTTGTGTGCTACAGCATGCACACAATTGCAGTCCGAGTCTGCCTCCTCTAGAATTCCACATTCCAAAGTTTGGTGCCAGTCCACCCATAAGACAACCACTCGCTGTTGGCTTCCACAAAGTGGTAGTCTTTTAATGACCCGCTGCACATTGCGGATATAGTCTACAAGTACGTACACAGTAAACAGAGTGTACATGCGGCATGCGCACAGTTAATGCATTCAGCATGTGTTGACTTTCACCGTTATCATTCGGCCACTGTCAATCCACTGCTGGATAAATGCCTCCTCCCCCGAGCCATCGCCACCCGTCATGGTCCTGCGATTCGATAGCCCCACGCACGAGCCGGCGCGGTCGACTGTAGCCGCGGCAATGCGTCGTGTAACGCTCTGTGCTTGGCAGAGTGTTTTTTACTGCTTGCCCACCGCCGCTCTCTTAAGGGGCCAGTGCCGAGGCTGCGGTCTCAATCTTCCTGAGCGTGGCTGCCACCGCCTATAGTTGTGTGCGTGTGTGTGCGCATTGATTTGTGTGGATGCGTTGCCTGCACCGTGAGCCATGCATGAGCTGAAGCGGTATGCTGTTGCCTCCCGACTCGCCGGCACTCACGCGCAACAATCCCCGCTGCTAGTGGCAGGACGTCGACACCAAACTAATTGGCGCTGCGCTGGTACCACGGTGCCGGAACTAACCCCCACGCACCCGCCGACCCTTGTTCGTCTTGTTGGCCACCATTTCCAATTAATCAGGTTCACTTTGTCGAACTGGGTGAGAACCCAAGAGGATGAGGGTCAGCCATTCCATGACATTAAAAGAAGTACAAACAAAGAAGCAAATGTAAATTGAAGAAAAATCTACCGACAAGAAATTTGAGGAATAATTCAAACCAGTGTCTAGCAGGTGACCACTGTATACTGCAGGGTCTAGACATCTGTGAAAAATTGCTTTATAGCTTAAAGGATTTCTTCAGTATAAATACTGATTTTGATTCTTTGCGAAAGCTATAACCAGAGTTGAGCCTGGATAGTGCATGGATGAGTGACCGCCATGCACAAAGCAGGGCACATTGCTGGCAGAAGAGGACAGCCCAGTAACATCCATTGTTGTACTGTACTATGATGCCATGTCTATGCTCTCTGCCTTCACCAACCTCCACTGACCAGTGTGAAGTACTTTGGTCAAACAAACGCCCATGTCCCGCACAGCATGGCAAGGCTGTCTTCCAGCAGTGGTTTGACTCAAGGGTTGTACATGTATACGTGCTGTACGTAATCGGTTCACATCGCCCCTCCAGCTACTAGACGTGCAATAGCTAATCAGTTTTCAAGGAATGCGAGTTTGGTACAAGTCTGTTAGCATCTGCAAAGTTCCCACGCCATCCCCTGGCTCTCCGTTGCAGCCATTTACGCAGCGGAGTCCGATTCGCGTGCTGTAGGCGAACGATCCCATATCCCGCGAGAATTCTACACCGATGTATCTGTCCCCAGAAGATGGGCGAAACCGCCAAGGGGGGGATGCGTTTTGGCCATTCAGTCAAAGTGCGAATCTGGCTCACAATGTGCGTAGAGCTGCGATCGTTGCACTGCAGCAGCGCAAGCCGCGCACCGTTGTCTGCAGACCAGGCGCAGGCGCTCAAGCTGTTGTTTTTCCAACTCCCTCCTCAGCCCACCCCCGCCCCTCAATATATAAATGAAATTGTAAAAGTGTTTTTTGGAAAAGTGAAACGACACCGGTGTCAAAGAAAGCACACGTTGGCTCATGTTTTCACCCGACAAAAGCCTTCATTAGGCCTAAGGCTGCTGCCTAAAAAAAGAAAGAAACTTTGAACGCCTCGTGCACTTTTCATAACATCTTGGCAATCGCATTTTCTCGTGCTGCACTTGCCGATGTGTGTGTGTGCGCGCGTTAAGTGCTCCTCAATGAATTCTATCGGATCTGGCACCGGGTTACCACCAGGTCGTTCTGTGGACGGAAGATCTGGGTTGAAATATTCCCGTCACCCACTCTCGCTCGCGTTTCCGTGCCATCGTCAATAGGCGCTCGCGAACAGCACTCGACCCAAACGGCCAGCGAAGAGTAAAAATGGCGATCGTTGTAAATGTGTTCTTGCCAACCGTGCTAATTGGAGGTGCGGGATGTCGCTGTCCTACCCTGTCACCGTAGCTTTTGTACCCCGTCTCTCTCCACTGTCACTTGACCCCGACCCCACTTTCTCTGCACCTGCCGTTGTTTTTCGCCTGCCACGACCTCGCCCATCCTCGCCTGCGCCGAGCTGTCCGCGCTGAACCCCTCCACCCGACTGCCCCCTCACTGACCTCCTGTGCCCCGGCCCCCCCCGCAGCTGCGCACCCTGCGCGGAGCGGTGCTGGAGGACGCGGTGCCGTCGACGGCGCGCCACGGCACCACACGGGGGCTGCCGCTCAAGGAGGTGATGGAGTTCGTGCTGCCCGAGCTGCAGCTGAGCTGCTTGCGCCTCGCGCCGGCCACTCCCAGGGTCTCGGAGCAGCTCCTCAAGCTCGACGAGCAGGGGGTGAGGAGCGGCGTGAGCGCGTGGGTTGACGGTGCCTTTGTCTCTGGGTGCGTGTCTTTCTTTATCTGTATGAGCAGTAGTAGGATGGTTTTTTTCACGACGTTTAGTGGTAATTAATTGAAGGTGGAGGGGTTGGCCGCTGTGGTGGCTACAAATGCACAAATGCCGCGGGGATGTCACCGCCACTTAGTGGCAAATGGCGGTTGTTGGGCAGTAGTAGTGTAGTGGTTGGAGCACTGCGCTATGAACCCGGTGACCCAAGTTCGATTCACAGTTACAACTCGCATCTGTGGCAAATAGTGTTTGAATTGGTTTTTAATCTCCCCTAGGTTAACCTAGCCTTAAATGAGTACCTGCTACTATGTATAAACATTGGTTCTTTCTGACAATACATGCCCCCAGCAGTCGATGTAGGCTCTTAGGGCGGATATTTGTTTTTTGTGTGAATGTGAAATTCGTACAACTGGCTTCATGCTCTGTAGGCGAAGAATTCCATTTCATTGCCAGCGTTGTGGGACACTAGTGCGACGATGGCGCTTAAAACAATAGCAGAAAACATACCGCTCGAACGTTAGCGGTCATTACAATTGTCCTCCAATAGTTGGTCAATCCGCTGCTGGATAGATGCCATCACGGCGACCAACACGACGTGGGGAAGCCTTCATCCAGCAGTGGATTGCCTCGGGGACGGGCCGCCGTGGTGGCGAGATGTTACCAACCTCGCCTGGTATACAGGCGGTCATGGGTTGGATCCCGACCCTGACGCGTGTATATTTGGAGTTTGCATGTTCTCCCCGTGGTCGCGTGGATTTTTCTCCAGCTCCTCGGGTTTTGCCCTCCACGCTTAGAAGCGTGCGTTTCCAGTATGTGGCTGCTCGTCATTTCCGCGTGATGAGCCACTTCGTTGAGCGATCGTTTGTGGTCCAGGTCACTTATGAAAAAGAGCTACGTAGCTCAGTGGGCCTTACCTGGTTAAAATAATTTTTTTAAATGTTTAGTTTTAGTTCAACTGTTGCAGCAGGCGAAGACGACAGAGGCGCAGTGCTTAATACGGGCAGACTGCTGCCATTATCGTGGGGTGAATAGCTCGCGGATCCGTATTTTGTCTTAATACATGTACATCACCCCTCCCCCCCCCCCCCCCCCCCCCCCACCCCCCCCACTTTTAATCGATGCTGGAATTGCGCGCAACGCGGGGGGTCGGCGGCCGCCTGGTTGTGACGAGCGACGCCGCCCCCCACGCCGTCGTTCCTCTGCTCCGGCGGAGAGAGGCACGCGGCCAAACCCCCCCCGCGCCGTTACCCGTGGAGGATCTGAGCTCGGCACTTCCACGAAAACGCTCCAACTTAAATTTGCCGATTAAAGGGGGTGGGGGGGCGGGGGGCGGTGATGGGTGGTGGGGGATGTGGCTGTGAGTGAAGCGAGTATTGCGAGCCAACCGGAATGACTCTCTCTCTCTGCTGCTGCTGTGTGCGCGTGAGGGTTAGTGAAGGTTATTTATGAGCTTTGCATGGCTCTAGTGGGGGTCCCTGTGGCATTCCGGGTGCTACTGTTAAGAGCAGAGGTTAAATTGCAGTCAAATGTGTAAGTAACATCACGAACCGGACCTTTGCACCTCTCGGTTATTGGCATCGCAGCTGGGGTAGAGAGCGAAAACCGTCAGGAAGAGAAAAGCGAATCGCCCTGATTCTGCCGATGAAACGCCGCATTCAGAGTTGCCGATTACGAATGTTTGCTGTGCCCCTTTTTAAGGAGGGGGCCGTCAGTTCAACAGCGACGGTGCGTGTGCGGTGTAAGGTCTGAACAAGCTGAGTGGAATGACACACGCGAACACGGAACGATTATGGGCCTGGCGAACAGCGTGACTTTCGCCTAAATATTTAGCATGTTAAATTACAACGTGTAAATGTTTACGTTGGCTGCAGACTGCTCGGAAGGAGTTCCTTACTGGAAACTGCCAAATTTCTGGCGGTAATTCCACCTTCATGCTTGATTTATACTTGTGGATGCGGCTGAGAGCATTTGGGTTTGTGTGTACAACTCTGAGCATGTGGTGTTCACGTGTGTAACAGTGAACTAGTTGGTTCAATTGTGTGAATGTGTGCTAGTTCACCTGTGTGTCTGTGAACTCGTTGGTTCACCTGTGTGACAGTGAACTCGTTGGTTCGCCCGTGTGACAGTGAACCCGTTGGTTCACCTGTGTGACTGTGAACCCGTCGGTTCACCTGTGTGACAGTGAACCCGTCGGTTCACCTGTGTGACAGTGAACCCGTTGGTTCACCTGTGTGACAATGAACCCGTTAGTTCACCTGTGTGACAGTGAACCCGTCGGTTCACCTGTGTGACAGTGAACTCGTTGGTTCATGTTTTCCCCGAACCTCCGATTAGCCGGTTGGCTACGTGGGGTGCGAAAGAAGTTCAACATCCATGTGTACAGCTCGGGGCTTGTCGGTTCACCTGTGTAGCTGTTGGATTGCCGAGTCACCTGAGCGTTGGTGTCTCCAGTGTTCTTGACCCACCGGTAACCAACCCACACCCACCGCGGCCTGCCTCATCGTGGCGTTTTACTTTTTGTTACGACTCAACGCGAGCCCGGTACAAAGCGCCCATCGCAGAACGGAGACGGGGGTGAGGGAGAATCGCAAATCCCGCGAACAACAACAACAGCAGCAGGCCGAGTTTGTCATGGCGGGGGGCTTAACGAAGGTGGGGGAGGGGCAGGGGGGTGAGAATTGGGGGGCTCGCTGCCCCAGCCAGGTGGGAACCACTCACGTGACAGTTTACATGGGGGAGACGGAAAAAGGGGCTAAAGGTAAACTAGCGTGCTGGGGGACAGGGTCGGGTGGGGGTGGAGAGAGAAAGTGGGGGCAGGCAGGGCGGGGGCAAAAGAGGGCAAGGCGTGTAATAAAACACCGCAGATCAAATAATTTATGCTAACGTCCCACAGGTCGGCGCTCCGCTCCCGCCCGTTCCCGCGGAAGAGGGGTGCGCAGCAGAGGTCGCAAACGGGTTTTGATTCCTTACCCGTACCCGGCCGCACCAGGTTCGCAAACGGGTACCCATACCCGTACCCGTACCCGGCCGGGTACAGGTACCCGTTCCCTACCCGTACCCTACCCGAAATGAGTGACAAACGGTTACTCACCGGTGACTCACGGCCTACCCGTACCCGTACCTGGCCGCACCAGGGTCGCAAACGGGTACCCGTACCCGGCCGGGTACAGGTAGCCGGGTATCGGGTAGGGTACGGGTATCGGGTACCCGGTTGCGACCTCTGGCGCGCAGCCCCCTCTACCCCCCCCAAAAAAAACAGCCGTCCACCCGACCTCCCCGGCGACTCCGTAAGAATGGGGACCATCTGGCCTCGAACTCCATTTTCTTTGTCTTTGAGCTTGTGGCCAAAGTGCTCGATTTCTGCGAGGGTGATGGGGGAGGGTATTATGCGACTGTTTCCACAAAAGGGGGTACATGGTCTTTACCAATTGATCAATATGACCTTCCTGGCCGTGATGGGTTTGCAGGAAAGCACGCTGATGTTTCAACAGAGCCCCACAAAGTAGTTTCGATTGCAGGAGTGAGAAGAATGGTGCTGCAGACTTTAGTAAAGAAGTCCATGATATCCCGATGAAATATGAATGTCCGGGCATAACCAAAAAGGCATGGAGGCATGACTGGACCGAGGACAATCTGGGGGTGAAACATCCACGAATTTTTCTCCTCTCTCGTTGGTCACGTAGGTGCCATTTCATTCATTTAAACTGAATTAAGCCTCCGTGGTAACGATCATGGTGCCGGATTGAGGGGCCCGCCAGATTTGTGTCCATTTATGCCGAGGGACACCATGGGACAGACACCTACTCCCAAGTTTCCGAGTTGTTGGTCTGTGGTACGAGTAACCCTCGCAATCCCGTTGGTGCCGTTTTGACAAAACGTGAAAATCACTATCACCATCGCGACGCGCTTCCTTCATGAAGCTTTGAAACGTACGACGTTCATGAAAACATTGGCGTTTCACGGAGAAAATGTTTTGTCGGTTATGGGAAATGGTTTATACCGTGTGCGTATAATAAGTGCAACATGGTCAGCGTAATAAATTATTAAGTTAGAAGATTTTATAACCCATTAGCTTGCATTATTTCCCGCGCATCGGCACGCCGAAATTACGTCTCTAAATCAAATGGCCGGGACCTGAGTTGAACAAAATGACAGTGTTCACAGATGAGAAGTGGGGGTAAGGACGGGGGAGTGATTTGGGGGGGGGGGGCCTGGGGATGTTATGCTGCATCAGCCCCGCCAGCATTGGCTGAAACGCAAACCCCTTTTGGCAGTTTAGTAAATGTGAGCCTTCAAGCTGTCACTTTAATTCATTCTGCACAATATCCATGGCAACCGCGCTGACAAGGGAAATAAGGACTTGCTGACCTGGCTGATTGGGTTCCTCCTGCACCAGGGTCCGCACACCGCGCTCATCGCTGGGGATGCGAGCGCAGCTGTTTGTGTTGCCGCTCGTTAATTTAAAATATCTTAAGCGTAAAATAACGTTTTGGCGCGTGTGACCCTCCTCCCGAAATAAGCGAGCGCCCATCTTTATTGCCGCAACATCCACCCTGCGCTCTCCCCCGTGTCCCGTCGCCCCGTACCCGTCGCCCCCGTGTCCCGTCTCCCCGTACCCATCGCCCCGTGTCCCGTTTCCCTGTACCCGTCGCCCCGTACCCGTCGCCCCCGTGTCCCGTCGCCCCGTACCCGTCGCCCCCATTTGCCGTCTCCCCGTACCCGTCGCCCCCGTGTCCTGTCTCCCTGTACCCATCTCCCCGTACCCGTCGCCCTGTACCCGTCGCCCCGTACCCTTCGCTCCCGTCTCCCCGTGTCCATCGGCTTATCCGATGCAGTCGACCGCGGGGCTTGTTCCAGTCGGGGGACGTGTCATGTAGAGGTGGGGCGGGGGGACGTCGTGGGGTAGGTACTGGATGCGGTTTCCGCACGTCCGTGGGGGCGCGTACGAATAAGAGGTGCTAATCGCAGGCTAATGTGAGGGCCGTGCTGGAGGGGTGGCGGCTGCTGCTGCTGCGATCATCGAAGCGCCTCCCTCCATCCCCACCCCTGACCAGGCAGTGGCAGCGTCTAGCAACTTTCCTTTGGTTTGTAAGCCCCGAGGTTGACGCTAATGTTGTTTGTCATGTTTACATAATTACACTTGGATGCATGTTTATAATTCATACGGCCGCGTAAAACTATTCACAGTACGTAGCGATGCACATACCCAGCGATTCTACTCATTGTCGGGGTGGCTGTGGCATTCAAGGACCAAAACAAATTCGGTCTCATTTTCATATCCGTTTCGTGCCCATTTTGTTAACGCCATCGCCCTAGATACAAACCAATCTAACGACGTGCGTGAATCGTAAATGGTGTTAACACGCAAACACATTCCTACACTGCGGGACCTGGTGTGCGCGCGCGTCTTGAGCGATTGAATCGACGTGAACCTCTGCATCTTGCCGTGCCTCACTGCCCTGTGCAGGCTCTCTCCTGCAAGTCGACGCACAAAGCCCCGGGGTGCCAGCGTTCTCGCCACCACGAGCAGCCGGCCTCTCACTCTTCTGCGCAGAGATGAGAAAGTTCCTGCCACCAATGCATAGTTTGCATTTCAGTAGAATGAACCTTTCCTATAAGATTGGGTGTGGCTGTTCTCATATGAAGCATTCGTTTGGAATTCTCGCGTTGGAGTTTCGTATCCGGCGGAGGCTGTTGGAGGCTGGTGTGTGTTGCCGTTTTTGTGGTTAGCCATTCCTGCGAACAGCCGGTGTTGAGGGGTGGGTGCGGGGGACGTTTGGCTGAGACTGTGCCTCACTTTGTCTCCTTTCAACCGCGTCTGAATTTCACACCCTCGGGGAGGGGGGCTGCTGCTGTGTGCTGGAAGGAGGAAGCGGGATGGCTGGGGTGTTTTTTCCCACCCGGGTGCTAATTAATTTTTGATCGATGAGGTCTGATTGTGGTGAGGAGGTTGCAAATGGCCCCGTTTGTGTTTCCCGACAAGTGTTGCGTCGTTGCGTGGGCATGGCTGCGGCGCGTGGTGGTTTTCCCCTTTTTGTTCCCACCACCTTCCCCCGGACAAACCCGCGTGGCTGGAAGAGGACGCTGCCTGCCCCCCCCATAGAGTGCGGTTGTGTGTGGGTGTCGTGTAATTCAGCCTCGGGTCAAACGTCACTGCTTTCTGTTTATCGGGCGCTTGAGGCACCCACCACTGTCCCCCGCGGTGGCTCTTTATGTATCGAGCGGATATGTTATATTTTTTTACATCATTGCATCACATTGAGCGAAGGCGGAATTAACTTCAACCTCTCAAGTATAAATTAAATCGCTCTCTCTGTTGTAAAATATTTTGGTGCAATTTCCGGTACTCGCATTATTATTGGTGGGTTTCAATTATATTGAAATGGGCCCTCTGTACGCATATATTCAAATCGGAACTACCACTAAAGCTCTTGCCTTTCGACCGCATTCTTTTCCCACGGAGTTGGAAATCAGTCGTGCAAGTCTGTTTACTGTAAGGTGTCGCACCGAAATGCACAGTTTGACATTTTCTTGAAAGTCTCTGCAGAAAATCCGCTCAGTAAAATTGCCATCGCGGAAACGTTCATTCCATTCGTGGAGGCCTGTAACAACGCCGCGTATCCCTCGGCGCTCCAAAAAAATAATGAAAGGAACATTAATGGCGGTTTTTGTGCATTTAATTTGAGATTCAAATATAAACGAAATGACTCAACTGGGAATAAGGTGGAAATTAAAACGTGTGCCATGGGCCCGCTCTCCCCTGTTCCCAGCTCCCCTCCAGCAGCTGGATGATACTGTGTAATAAGGGAATCCATGTCCGCAAAAAATGTAGAATTCTTGTTGGCATACTCTTAGGTTTTTCAGTAAAGTCACGTAGGTAAAAAGTAAAAAATAAAATAATAGAAATTAAATAATAAATCAATGAAATCACGACGTTTCGGAGGCAACACAAGTCTCCGTCTTCAGGTGGGACCGTCACAGCTAAATATACTGTATTTTTATTTTTTACCTACGTGACTTTACCGAAAAAACCTAAGAGTATGAATCCTTGCAGTCACGAAAGCTTCAAATTTAGAATCTTGTTGGCATGATGTTTGTGACATAACAACGACGCTGACTGTTTGAAGACATCACAATTGTCGGTGTTCCTCCATCCTGAGGCCCCTGATTTTATAATCCCCCAGGGCCCCACGCTGCCACCTCTGGATTTTGTCTGCCAGGTCAATCGTTTTCCTGGTGGCTGCACATGTAACAATTCAACCCCACCATCGCCACCTCCCCCCCGCAGCTATTCCAAGGATTGTCAAAATAAGGGAAAGCGATTTCCATTAAAGAATCGTTTTCTTTCAACCCTTATCATACTTCTGATTGCACTTGGAGACACTTTGTTGGTTTTGACCTTAGGCGTCCCTTGAAGAAGAGACCTTTTAATCTCAATGGGCCCTCACGTGGCTATAAATAAATCCGTCGGATTAAATGACGGGTCTCTGGAACGATTGACGGCAGCGTTTGCCCGCGGCCGCTCAAGTCGACCGCCACTCGCTGGGTATCGCTCGCTGGGCCCTCCGCCGCCACGGTCGCCGCTCACCCCCGCCGCCTGTCCCCCCCCCCCTCCCACCCTCCCACCCGCTCGTCGTCTCCCGGCAGCTGAGCTACCAGCACAAGGTGGGCATCATGTACTGCAAGGCGGGCCAGAGCACGGAGGAGGAGATGTACAACAACGAGACGGCGGAGGCGGCCTTCGACGAGTTCCTCGACCTCCTGGGGGAGCGCGTGCGCCTCAAGGGCTTCACCAAGTACCGCGCGCAGCTCGACAACAAGAGTGAGCGGCCCGCGGCACCACGCGTCGCCCCCCCCCCCTCCCCGTCTGCCCCTGCTCCCCATCCCTCTCGTTCCCCCTTCCCCCCAGCTTCCCATCCCCCTCGCCCGTCCCTGCCTGCCCCCCCTCCCCCCTCGCTCTCCATCAGTCTTGCTTCCCATCTTTCTTATTGCTGTCCATCCCTCTCGCTCCCCATCCTCCCTGTTCCCCTCTCCCCTCCCCCCCACCTTCTCCGCTGTAGGCTGTATATATTTCTCCATTTGTTTACCTTCACATTTGCATGCAGATGTCTCAGCTGCAGCAGCTGGAACATCATGGCGGGGGGGGGGAGGGGTGGGGGGTCATTAACACTTTCTGCCTCTGCGTGGGCGGCGTTCAGCACTTTGTGTTTTGGGTTCCGCGCGCAAATCCGTCTCCCGCACCGCAAATTTCAAGATTTTCCAAATTAGCTTTAATTACCAGCAAAATTCATATGTATTTGCCTAACAGGTGCAGGGCGGGAAATGAACGATGAGCAGCACCTCTTCGTGATGTGTCTGCTTTGGGTAATTGCTTCGTGGAGACGTGGAGACGAGGCCAGTGGACACAGGGTGCTGGGCAGCGAGCGTCACTCGCCGTCACTTGCTCCCTCTCACCGTTCTGTGTTTGTGGCGGTGTGACGACGGTTGGGCGATCCGCCCTGTAAGCCCGCACGTTCGCTCGCACGGGCAATCCCGCACCTCGGCAACGCCAGGCCCCTGTGCAACCTCGAGCTTTCCCCTTAGCACTTGTGAAAATCCTCAAAGTGTTAGTGCCACGGTGGGAGATGTGAAGCGTTGCACTGCTTAGCCAAGAGGCCACGTGGAGGATGTGACATTTAGTCAGGACGGTGCGAAAGCTGCCGCCCCCGTACGCAAAACGTTATCGGGAAACGTCGGGAGCCCAGGGGCATAGGCGCGGAAGACGGCGTGTCGCTGGTTGACCACTCTCCTCCCCCACCGCCGCAGATTATAAAGTGTGATGTTTGCTTTTCAGAGGAAGAGCAATCGTGCCCTGTAAATGTACGCGTGCCCTCACAGCTGCCCCTGCAAACCGCACTGCTTGGCATTTTTGTGGCCCGTGCACAAAAATGTCATCACCTTGGGTTAACATCGCTTGACGTTAAATGTCACGGTTCGCACGTCGGGATTCCAACGGTCAAAGGTTTTTCCAAATTTGGGTAATATCCGCTTGCGCTCGGCTCACGAGTGCCATGGCATGTTTGTGCTCTCGCTTGCTCGTACGACGGCCGATAACCAAATTATTTTGCAAGTCGTGTAATTAGGGGCAGCGCCTTACAAACACTGGAAGTGTTCCCGGCCGCAGCGCCGTGCCAACGGCGCCCGTTAGCGGCAACGGCACTGGCAGCGAAACAATGAAACTGCTGCGGCCGCGATTGCTGCTGCATTTTGAAATCGCAGCGCAAAATTGAGTCCCAACTGCTCGGTTAATTTGGTCGTTAATGAAACGCGACTCTGTTACGTGCGTGCTGCGCCGTTCGGTGTGGCGGCGGCAGCGGCGGCTCGGCTCACGTTTGAGTTGTCCCCTGAACTGACCGACGCGACGGTGCCCCCCCCTGTGTCTGACAGCCGACTCGACGGGGATGCACTCGCTCTACACCACCTACAAGGACTACGAGATCATGTTCCACGTGTCCAGCATGCTGCCGTATACGCCCAACAACCGGCAGCAGGTACCCACGTGACCCACGCAAAGCCCTGACCTCTGCCCCCTTGCGCACCAACGCACGCGCGCGCTCGAGCGTCATCTTTAAACCCCCCGCCAAACCTCCTACGCATTTCACAAGTAGTACTAATCGCATATCTGCATTTCCCATAAATATGCTAAATTCCTCTTGATATGCAAATTCTTTTGTCAAGGCGCCCTTCCCCCCTCCATCCCAGCTTAAATAGTCGCTCCAAGCCTGGAGTTTGTCATTCAGACTCTGTCTTCTCGACAGACCTGTTCTCCACCTGAGGACGGCTGCTTGCGTTGTGGCCGAAACGTCGTGAGAATTATTTTATTATGTTTTATTTTTATTATTTTATTGTTTCCATTCTACGTGACTTTACCGAAAGAACCAAGAAGATGAATCCCTGCAGTCACGAAAGCTTTAAATCGAAATCGAGCGTCATCGTCGAGGACCTCCCTCTGCTGATTTGGCACCTGGCGAAGTGGTCCAGTGGCTTTGGAGGTGGGAGTTGGTGGATCGTGCAGAGATCATCATGTGAAGCTTCCCTTCTGTTACATAGCTTCCTATCCTCTAAATTGAAAACGAATTTCTTTAGAGCTGCTTTTTGTGTTTAGTTTTGTTTGTCTTTACCCCACACCTCCGGTTAGCACGTTGGCTAGGTACGGTGCGAACAAAGTTCTGCACACATACGTTGGGCTATGACGTGGCCAATAGATGGTCGTTCCTACTCCCTGCCCCCACGCCATGTGTAACGTGCCAAAATAAGTGCTCATGAATCTCCCTTACCTTGATGGAATGTAAGGCTTCTGTGTAATCTCAACTGCATAGCACAGGCCTCTGAGAGCTGTGAGTCTCAAACTGCAGTGCCCTTGAATCGATGCATTCAGGGAGAAACTAACCCTAGGCGTGACGATGTCTTACTCAATGCCCCGCGCCGACACTTTTGACACAAAGAGTTGCACCTGGTGCAGGCTGCGAGCCTCGTCCCGCCGGATCGTAGCGTTCCTAGCCGCCAAATAATTTAGGGATCGTTTAGTGACGTTGTCTTTATTGCCATAATACATTTCTGATGGGCCATTTGGTGCCTAAGCGACTGTATTCCCCATTATCCGCTGTAATTAGTATGGGCTGCCTCGTCTGCACTGGCCTGCGGGGCGATGCATCTGGCGTGGTGGGATGGGAGCAGTTCTGCTGATTGTTGCCACGGCGGACGGAATAGGAGAGCATCTGGCATCTGGGCTAACGGCCCTATCAAAAATGTAGTCAATAAAAAGGGAGGGGTTGCAGCGTCGTGGGGGCGTATAATGTTTTGTAGAACCGCAAATGCAGACTGTTATTATGGGACAAAGCCTTGATAGTCATCGTGACTTTGGGGGCGTGTAATGGTCATAAAAGAGGAAGGGCTTGGCGACATATTACGCTTGTTTTCCACAGCTACGAGTCTTCATTTGGAGCGCCGTGCCAAAGAGGCCTTTAGTTACGGCGGAGAGGAGACAAAATATGTTTGTGGTAGAGGCAGTCGTTGACTTCCAAACACCTGATTTACGAACACCCACACTTGCGAAACCAGCTTGCATGAAAAAAATACATCGGCTTTAAACGCGAACTCGCACTTGCAAACTCAACCACGGAACTATTTTGTTCAGCGGAGCGATCCTCCGCGGGATGTAATGAGTCAGCCTCGTGCTGGGAGTGAGAGTTTGTGCATATGTGTGTGCCGCGCGCGAATGTGTGAGTGTGTGTGTGTGTGAAAGTGTGTGTGCGTGCGCACGGATAAACGGAGATTTATCCAGTCTCGCAGCAAGATGTCTCTTGGAAGGGCAATTTCATCACGGCAAAACAAACAAAAAATTACCTACATATTGGCCTGTCTTGCTTGTCAATCCAAAAACACTTGTGACAAATTGAAGGCCCATTTTTTTGTGGACTGTCTCTGCTGCTGTTTGTTGTGTCGGGCCACCAACACGGGGGTCGCTGGTGGCACCGTTTTCGATCTGTCGCGCATTCATAAATAAACTGCACAATCCGATACACCTCCGCTAATGCGGCCTCAAATCTCGCACGCGTCCTAGCAAATCAAACGTCTTAACCTTGTGAAGCTTGAAGCTTCGGTGAGCGAATGCTGTCCACGTTACAATTTGAAATTATTATTGAAGTTTGAACGGGCCGCGCCGGCTCCCTCCCGTGACTATAAACGTCACCTATCCCTGCAGTGCGCAGCAGCATGTCGCGTGGAGTAAATAGCATCGCCGAGGTGAGCATCGCGATGAAAGCGAGGACTGCCTGTAGCGTTGACTCAGCTCGCAAGCGGAGGGGAAACGTTCTTGGGGTGTAGTTTTGCCAAACTGCTGCCGAGTTGCAAGCGAGCTTCATGGCGAGTGCCTCACAGACTGAAGCAGAATATTGTATTTCTATTTAAAGCTTTCGTGACTGCAGGGATTCATCTTCTTGGTTCTTTCGGTAAAGTCACTTAGAATGGAAATAATAAACTAATAAAAATAAAACATAATAAAATAATTCTCACGACGTTTCGGCCACAACTCAAGCAGCCACCGAGCCGTGAAGACGGCTGCTTGCGTTGTGGCCGAAACGTCGTGAGAATTATTTTATTATGTTTTTTTTTATTATTTTATTTTTTCCATTCTACATGACTTTACCGAAAGAACCAAGAAGACAGAATATTGTATTTATACTGGAGCAATCCGATGAGCTATAAAGCTCTTTTTTACAGATGACCAGTAGGGGCGGGGCAGCACGTTACAACAACAAACGATACAAAGAATACGACAGGAGTGCGCTGAGCTCCCAGGAATATCAGCAGCGGCAGTAGCACCGTCCACACTGACGCAGCAGCAGCAGCAGCTGCGACGTACATTTTCTTATTTGTTTTTGTTCCTATAAAGTCGTCATAGTTTCCTTGAAAAAATGGACAATGGCTCGGTAAATATTATGAGCCATGTCTACATGATGCCCGTCCTTCGACAGTCATGTATTTTCTGCAACGGTTTATTTTATATTTCTTTTGGTGGCTTGTTTCCCTACCTCAATGGATTGAGTTTTTATTTTCCCCCACCCCGCCCCCAAATAAAAACTCACCGTTACCAGATAGCGGCACCCTGCTGAGCATCCCCTGCAGTTAGCGCGTGCAACGCAACCAGGCCTCATCCTCATCATCCTGCTCGCTCCGACAGGAATCGCCCCTTTCAAAGCGCTGCTTTTTTTGGCTTAAGATTTTGTTTTTTACGCCCCGATCAAGTTACACCAGCCAGGAGTCCCCAAACGCAGTGATGTCATTGGGCCCATCACTTCCAAACAAAAGAGACATCGGGTGAGAAAGAGAAGGGAATTGGAGTGGCTGTCGGGATGGAAGGGGAGGTGGGGAGGGGAGGGGCGCGTGGGAGTGGGGAGCGAAGAGGAACCACCCACGCCGCAGCGGCGTGTCGAGTCGCATCCCGTGTACACACGTGTCACGTGTCTGCAGTGAGTCACCCCGCCAGCATCTGTTCTCCGGGATGATCGTGATCACCGTCTGTCTCAAGCAGTGCGACTGTCTGCCCCGTGGCCGCCTCGCCGGCTCGATCGTTGGTGAACTTTGTTCAAGGCCATCGATGAAGTCATTGGCTTTGTTTGTGTCACTGACAAACAGTTTGTTGCTTTGTGCTGGAGCCACCGAGAAATTGAATAATAAGGCGCTAATTTTCTTTGACCGTTTAAACTTCGTTTTTGCTGCGATAATTTTGTACATGTCAGTCGTGGGGTTTTTTTCGCTTTATCTGCGCACGATCGCTGTTCGGGAAATAGTCCAGACATGCCATAATTAGTTGGATACTTCCAAAGGCCCGCAAATGGAATTTTGACAAGCACGATTTAAATTACCGTACTTGTTAGCTGGCTGCACTTCCCTCCTTCAGCGGTCGCTTGCGCGTCTTTCTTCAGCCACCGAGTGAGAATCGGCTCCTCCTGTCTGTAGCAGGGGTGGTGTGACGTGGCTGATGGACCGCAATTTCCCTGGGTCGCCAGGGCAGATGTCGCGGTGTCGTTTATCGCCTCTGGGCGGTGACGCGATAGCAGCCTGGCCGTGCACGCGAGAGAAGCGTCCTCCGCCGGGAATTGGCGCGCCAATCGGAGCTGTGCGCTCGTGACGTCTCCTCGATCCGCGCGCTCCAGGACGTACGTTGACCACCATTGTCAACGTCGTTGTCGTCGTCATCATCAACAGCCATTATCAATGCACTGCTGGATGGGACTCCCCTCGGCCCTGTGCTCTCACAATCAATCCTGCACACGAGCTGATGGTTCATATGGTGGTCACCGGCACGCCCCGGTTGAGGTGCTAATTCCATCCCTGTGCCGGGCACTCAGAAACCGATGATTATTCCATCTCCGTCAATACAATCCTCCAACGTGGAGGAGTTGATTGATTGAACCAGTGCTCAATGATGCACTCGAGTCGATCTCACCATTGCCAAGCCTCTTCCTTGTCCCTCTCCTATTGCTAGTGCTTTCATGCACTTCACGCTTTGATTCCTCTGGCAATGTTAAGGATTCCTGCCCTCAGTTTGGCTGTGTCCTCTCACCCACAATGTGTTCAACGGTCTTCTTTATTGGCACGTGACACTTGACCAGAACGCCCTTCTGTCACCTCTTCCCCCCCTTTGACGGCACAAGCTGGATGTAAGCGCACCCTTTTGGAGCAGGGCAAGCTGTGCTTATATCCGCAGTAGTGTGCTTGTATCAGAGGTCGCCCTTTGCCTCTCCCCCGCCTCCGCCCACACCGTGTGCAACGTACTACGCCTTACGTTGAATCTATCTGAACCGGCTCCGACTGTATTAATCTTGGCATCATTGTCATTGGTGATCTACGTTGCTGGCCACTATCAGCCTTTCGGGCTTGGCAACTAAAATTCGTATTCTTGTTAAACGGTAGCCTGTCATAGCACGATCGCAAGTGTTCATCTCAGCACCGGGGAGGCGGTGGGGGGGGGGTACATGGAGAGGCCACGGTGCCTGGGCAGGGCAGATAGATTTCTTGGTAAGCGGAGTGCATGAATAATGCACGCGGCTTTACTTGGTCAGGCCAGTGGCCCGGGCGATATTCGTCGCCTGCATCCGTCGGAGTGACCGGGCCAGTTTGCGCCAACATAGCGCGTGAAGCGTTTTGTGTTGCGTGCTGCTTCGCGTGTAATTGGCAATCGCCGCCGGCGAAGCTACGGGATCATCGGCGGCTCCGCTGAAAGGCGCCGCGAATCGAACGAGCGCTGCGTCGGGCCGCCGCGAAGCCGAGCAAAGTCTCGAGCAGCGATTCATCTCCGTGCGGCCCTCACCGGATCGGCGAGTCGGAAATATGTTTCCGGCGCCCGGCGCACACCACGTCCGGCAGACTTCTCGCTGCGGTTCTTGTGGCTACTACTGGCCACGTGCAGGCTGCTGAATTTTTCCACAGATTGACGAAATGCTTCGTGAGCAATTAAACCCCGGTCGTACTCGGGAACGTCTTTTTATGAATGGTGAAGCAAAAAGGAAGAGATGGGCGCTTCTCCCCGCACAGCACCGTCCTGCTGCGTGTTGCCACCAAACCCAAATCGCAATTAATCACAATCGCAACGTATTTGTAACTCCAGCGAAAACAACGCTTTTGCAATTGTACAACGACGCCAGCGCGTCTGCTGTCCACCCACGAACGCCGTCACGATACCCGCAATCCTGCAACCTCCTGCTGCCCAAGGGAGCTGTTTCTGGGAAAACAAAAAAAAGTGAAGTCACAATGAGAATAATTCTTTTTTCTAAAAGGTTAAGCCAGACCCCTCCCCCTCACCCCCCGCGGGGCCGCGTCCCCTGCGGGGCGATGCACGTGGGCTGTGGCCCCCGCAGCTGGAGAACGCCTCGCCCAGAAGATGGTGGCGCCGCCTAAATTGTCTTTCCATCTGTGCCGTTGAAACCTGAGCGTCGGCTGAAATTGTGATTTACTCTCCAGCAGCCGCCCCCCCCCCCCCCCCGTGCGAGCGAGGGCAGTGATGGGAAACGCAGGTGCTGCTCCGTGTAGTGGCCCGCCTCGTTTGGCGCGGTGGGGACCGCTTGCTGTGCCCAAATCGCCGATCGGCATCGTCGGAGCTTCGATTTGTGGCTGGATGAGAATCTATGAATTTGTTTCCTCTTGCCCGAGCTGCGTGATGGTCCACTTGGAAGTCCTGTTTGGCCAAACCGCGTCTCCAAACGAGAACCACTTTAAAGGCGATTCAGCCAAGGCTTTCGATTTAAAGCTTTCGTGACTGCAGGGATTCATCTTCTTGGTTCTTTCGGTAAAGTCTCTTCTACGTGACTTTACCGAAAGAACCAAGAAGATCAGCCAAGGCTGTGATTTTTGTTTATCTCCACAGTGGGAACGCTTCCCGCTGCAGTGTTTGGCGAACGCTATTAAAGTTACGATTATGAAACATTATAAACTGTTTATTTGTGTGTGTGTGTGTGTACAAATACACATTTGATTAATCCGTTACTGCGTATGAATATTAGCTCTGTAAGTGTAACAAAATTAGGAAACTTGGCATATAACTACCACGTGGCCTAACCCAAGAACAAATGTGGATCGATATACATGCCTGATTCTAGTTTACATCGGTTATAACCTCTCAACACGTGAGATCGGCCCTTGATTGACCATTCCACCACTATTATTTGCTTGTAACTTGTCCCGATTGCCAATCCACTGCTGGATGAAGGCCTCCCCCACAACGTGTTTGTCACGAGAGCTGTATTCTCGGCAGACCTGTTTCTTCACCTGAGGACGGCTGCTTGCGTTGTGGCCGAAACGTCGTGAGAATTATTTTATTATGTTTTATTTTTATTATTTTATTACTTCCCTTCTACGTGACTTTACCGAAAGAACCAAGAAGATTCACCACGGTAGTTGGTGCATGTTTTTGGGTGGGGGGGGGGGGTGGTGGGGTGAGTGGGGGGGTGGGCTGGGGGGGCGGCCGTGTGCGAGTAATCGAACTCGGGGTCGCCAGGTTCACAGCGCAGCAGTTCGCCAGCCGCTCGCTAGCAGCAGGGCCACTCCCCTGGGGGGCAGCGCTGCCTCGGCGCTGTCTCTCCCCGGCCGCCTGCCCTCGCATGACACGGCTCGCGCGCCGTGTGCGTTGGGCTGTTCTTCTACGCTTTAGTCGAGAGAGGAGGGGGGGGGGGCTCCCTCGCATTGAGATGCGCATTGCACGTACAATGAGCTCTATGTTGTTGTATTTACATTTGATGGGTTGGGGGTGGTGGGAGTCCTAAGTGCTTGATACGTGAAGGCTTTTCTTCTTTAAAACCACCCCCACCACCCCAACGATTGTGTTGAAATAATCAAAACCGTTGCCGTGCTTTTCACCCATTGTTGTAATGAAATCAAAGCGTTTCCTTTCAATAATAAACCTGACTCCGCTCTTAATCGTAGCCACAAGGAGCACGATGGATTTTCATTTAACCGTCTCACAAAGGTGCCGTGCTGGCTGCGCCCGCGCCGGTTTGTGCAATCATTTACATTCGCTAATGAAATCCTATTTGTTGAGTTGTTCCGTTTGAGGCTTTTATTGGGCTCGGGAGGGAGGAGCGAGCGCCAGCGGCGGCACGCGGTTACGCGAGCGGCGGAGGAAACGATTACAGGCGCGCGTTACCCCGTTCACGTCGTTATTGTTTCGTTTTACGCTGGCAGTTTTAGAATTAAAAGCGATCCTCAAAGGGGAAGGGGTGGCGGGGGTGGGGGTGGGGGAGGGAAACACAATTTAATTTGTGAGCTCTGACATGAGGAGGATGGGGGGGAAAGAAGCCACCCAACTCTTTCTGCTGAGGCGAACTGGTGCTTGAGACCTCTCGTCAGGCCGTCGTTGGCGCCTCTGTGAAGCTGCAGTGCCATGTCGGATGTCGGATGTCGGATTTCGGATGTCGTGTTCGTGTCGCAGCTCCTGAGGAAGCGGCACATCGGCAACGACATCGTCACCATCGTGTTCCAGGAGCCCGGGGCGCTGCCTTTTACACCCAAGAACATTCGCTCGCACTTCCAGCATGTGTTTGTCATTGTGCGAGTGCACAACCCCGGCAGCGAGAACGTCTGCTACAGGTGAGACGCACGCACGTTGCATGCGTGGGGGAGGGGGGGCACAGAGACACACACACGTGTGCAGCCATGTGCAGACATCGCAAATGTTTACTTTCTACTTTTAGAGCGAGCGCCTGCAGTGTCTGCAGTAGGCGAGCACATGCGGGGCACATCTGTATGCGTGGCCTCCCCCGTGCTTACATTTTTTGTCAAAGCCTGTGAAAATGTGTTTAACCCCCAAGCGCAGGTGATCCTTCACATTCTCTTCTCCCGACGCAAGCGAGCAAATCTTGTTCCTCTTTTTCTTTTCACGACGCCAGCGTCGCCGTGACTCGCTCGAAAGACGTTCCGCCGTTCGGGCCGCCGATCCCCAAAGGTGTGACCTTCCCCAAGTCGGCCGTGTTCCGGGACTTCCTCCTGGCCAAGGTGATCAACGGCGAGAACGCGGCGCACAAGTCGGACAAGTTCCGCGCGATGGCGGCGCGCACGAGGCAGGAGTACCTGCGCGACCTGGCGGAGAACCACGTGACGACGGGCACGGTGGAGTCGGCGGCGCGCTCGTTCGGGTTCATCCCGCTGGGCGGCAAGAGGAAGGAGAGGACGCGGCCGCGGCTGGGAGCCGAGCTGGGCAGCCAGGGCGCGCTGGTCTGGCACGCGCGCGCGCACGACTACTCCCACTCCGCCGCGCACCCCGAGCTCGGCTGCCTCTTGGGGATCTCCAACCAGGTGCGTCGCGACGACACGAGCGACGCTCCGGCGCCGTGAGCGAGCACTCTCGAGCGCACGCACGTGCCGTCTTGCACAGTTTGAAACCGACGCCGCTCGCTCGCGCAGCGCTGTGGGATTTAAACGGATTTTTTAAATTACAATTTTGGTCGTGGGTCGACTTGGCGCATTCCTCCGAAGCACCATGCTGTGGAAATTCCACAGTGGGTTGTCTTGTCGAAGGCTCTTCCCTGCCATAGCAATGTGGATTTTTCACCAGGTCCTCAGGACCACCGTCGCTAATGAGCGCGCACCGCGCAATCTCCTGCGGAGCATGGGGACAGTTTGAGTCCCTGGACTGCAGGCGCGGGTTGTCTGTGACGGCTCGCGGCGTGTCCCCCCGTGCCAGGTGGTGGTGCTGGTGGACAGGGTGGCGCGGAGCGGGGTGGTGTTCAACTGCACGACGCGCGACGTCATCGGGTGGACGTCGTCGCAGAACGCGCTGCGCATTTACTACGAGCGCGGCGAGTGCATCGACCTCACGGTGGCGCCGGACGAGGTGGTGGAGATCGTGCAGCGGCTGCAGGTGACCGAGCGGCCGTCGTCGTTGTCGTCGCTGTCGCCAAGCAACCGAGCCGCGAGCAAACACAGCTGCTCGGTTGAACGTAGAGACACCCATTAATACAACAGCCGAAACGTCGTGATTTTTATTTTAATTAACTTTTTATTAATTTTTATTTTTTACCTACGTGACTTTACCGAAAAAACCTAAGAATATGAATCCTTGCAGTCACGAAAGCTTTAAATCTAGAATTAATACAACAGCCTTCGTTTAATATTGGGCATCTCTGGCTCAAGATGTCACCGAGAACTTTACAATCCATCCTTGATCTCCAGTTATTTTGCTTATGCAACGAATTGAGCGGTTAATATCACCGATATTGTCGTTGATTAACCCTGTGCTATCAAGAGCAAATAAGTCGTCGGGTGTGATTTTGAAATGAACACCAAAACATCAGTCTTACCGAGGACAGGAAGGAGATCCAAAGGCTTGGAGCATAGTATTGCATTGTCGAGTGGATTTTCATTCACACGTGAGCTTAGGATGGAATTGGGTCACTGGGCAATTCGGCACTTTCCCAGTAAGCCGGTTCTGGAATTGATCCAGCCGGCACTCAGCATTTTGAACTTTTAAGATGCACGGAGTATGAATCGGCTCAACTGCACCGTTGGCTCGCAGTGCAGATGCCCAGTTGCCTGGTGGCTCAGCTCCAGCATTGATGATATCTATACCCGTCGCGTGTCAGAAGCCTTTTCATGTCTCCGCATGTAAAGTTTAAGGCGCACAACCGATCCGGATGGAGTACACCGGGTGTGGACATTCCTTCAATTCTCCTTGACCTCCTTCGGCTTGAATAGATTGCACAGGCTGGTCACGTTGTTCCTTACACGGCGAGGATGCCGACCCATTCATTTTTAAATCGCCCACGAGTTCTTGTGCTCGCTGCCCCATCCCGCGGCGATGACGCCTCGCCAGCTTTGTGGTGAGATATTTAGTGGTGAGGCCCCACGGGATGACGGAGGCGGCGTGGGAATGCCAGGCGCAGCGCCGTGTTGCTGGTCGTGGGGGCCTCTGCTGGTGGTTCTCTTTGCACGGCCCTCTCCGTGTCCCTCGTGACAACGGATGGCTGGTCTTGCCTGGCCGTGCTTTTGAGTCCCACTCGCGAGCCGCACGTGGTGTGCATTTCGGCGCCGTCTCGCGGCTTTTTCTTCCTCAGTTCATTGGAACACTCGCTCTGGGAGCCATCGTCGTAAACAAATCGATACATTTTATGGAGAACGGTTGCCACTCGCTTGAAATTCCTCCCGTGGTGGAATCGGAGGGTTACTCCTTCTAAATATTTGCCACGGACCCCTGGTTACAGCTGTTGTGTGGTGGCAGCTGGCCGGCTCGTATTTCGCCCGGACGCGAGGCCACGTCGCCCTGGCGTGCGATGAAAGCCCGGTCTCATCAACCGAGCTTCCTCGACGCTTGCGGAGTGAATCCCGGGGGAAACGCCCGCGACCTCGGGGCCTCCGAGTGGAAAACCTGAGTGTTTACGTTCCGCAAAAAAGGCAAACTGATCACGGTGAGGGTCGCGACCTCCAAGGCAGAGGCAGCCACTTTCCCAGCGAGTCGCGGGGCAGCGCCCGGGGGGGAGGGGGCTGGGTGGTGCACGTGTTTGTCACAGGCCGTGCCACAGTGTGCCGCTGGACTGCGGAGTGGCACGTGAACCCGATTTAACCGCGCTCCGGTTGCTGGTGCGTTTTCACCTCTAACTGCCAACCCCCCCCCCCCCCTCGGGGTGCCCTCAAAGAACGAATCCGTTGTGTTTATTTAACCCTTGCACACCGACAACCCCGAGCCTCCACGAAGGGCTAAGAGTGTTTGCGAAGCTCTGCATTTGAGGGCTTTGGTGGAACATAACAGGCGTCTAAATAAAACAAAACGCGATTGATTGTTGAAATATTTTTTCTCTCCTCTTGGTCAAGAATAGGATCCCAGCTTTCCTGCGGGAGTTGGGAAGTGAAATGAAAGGATTTGCTTACATAGCGCCAACAACTCAACAAATCATTTCCTCAGACGACACCACAGAAGTAGTTTGCAGCATGTCTCGCCCACGAATAGCTGTCATTCTTTCTTCCTCTATAAGTAGCAGTTGCATCATCGTCAAATAATAAATTGCATTTAATTCTCCTTTGTAAATCTACTGCTGGACAAAGGCCGTCCTGTGCCATGTCAAGCAGCAAGAGTTGTGTTTTGTCATACTTCACCACGCCGGTCAATGCGGGTTGGTAAAGTGAGGTCCAGGATCGCTTCAGATATCGCTCGCCACTGACGATCGTCATCCCCAGCTAACGGTGCAGTCGGTGAACCACTGCGCTCGCCACTCCACCACTCGTCGGATATATACATAGCGGCGAACGTATACATTTGGTCTCGCCTTAAAGATGACTTCTGTGAAAATAAATTGAGATTTTTTATTTTATTTTGTGCGTTCGTTTGTGGCCAGGCTGAAGACATTGGAATTCGCGGCACTTGAAATTCAAGTTATTATTCACAGATGACTAAAAAAAAAACAGGATCCTAGTGGTGCTGACTCATTGGATCTGACAAAGCCACTCTGAGCCTCCCGATAAACGATTAGACTCAACCGTACGACATGAACCGGGTTCACAGCAATGGTGACTCGTCTTCTCTGACACAGCCATTGTGAACCTAGTGTCACGTAGACCCAGCCCCAGGGCTTGATCCAGCATGTGTCAGCAGTGCTGGCATCAATGTCTCTGGCAGGGAGCGCTGCTGTTTTGTGTTCGGCTGTTCCTGTAATAGTTGCGGTGGCTACAATTCCTCTGCTGTTGTAAGCCTGGTAGATGTGCAGTGATTCACCCCGCTGATGATGCAATGAATCGTGACAATTCACTGAATCGTAAATAAATGTAAGCGAAACTATTCCCACACGCGATCACGAGCGCGCATCGTGGGTGAGCCGATGGAATCGACGCGACGTCTCATCACGTGCCCAACCGTGTGACTAACCGCGACGGGCACGCGCGCGTGCGTGGCGGAGATCGTGGTGAAACATTTTTTTTTTATAATTGCGACAGCACCCCCTGCCCATCGTCTTACTCGGTAAAAAACAATGATAGTAAAAATAACCGCGACGGCACGCGTGCCCGTCCGTCCGTTTGCACGCAGCTGGTGACGCGCGGCTGCGAGACGCGGGAGCTCACGCTGCGGCGCAACGGGCTGGGCCAGCTCGGCTTCCACGTCAACTACGAGGGCGTCGTCGCCGACGTGGAGCAGTACGGCTTCGCGTGGCAGGCCGGCCTGCGCCAGGGCAGCCGCCTCGTCGAGATCTGCAAGGTCGCCGTGGCGACGCTCTCGCACGAGCAGATGATCGACCTGCTGCGCACCTCGGTCACCGTCCGGGTGGTCATCATTCCGCCGCACGACGACGGTTCGCCCAGGAGGTCCGCCCGCCCGGCCGCCCGGCCGCCCGGCCGCCCACCCCGCCCGCTCCGTGTGTCCCTCGGTTCTGTCGTCTGTGTCTGTGTCTATCTGTTCCACCTACAGGTGTCTGCCTGTCTGCCTGCCTGCCTTGCCTGTCTGTGCATTCTTCTTGTGTGTGTGTGTGTACATCTGTGTGTCTGCTCATTCCTCTGTGTGCCGATCTGTCTGTCTGCCTCTCCGTCAATCTTTCGGGGTGAGGCCTCTGTCTGGCCTTGCATATCCTATGAGCAGTAGAGGAGGAAGGGAGGGTGGCATCTCACATTCATGTTCAGAAGCTTGGTCAAGCATGACATCGCAGTGTGGGTATACTTCCAAAATGCTTGCGATCGATCAAACTTATTCTATTCCAACTATCACAGTCTGTCGTAGTGTTTGCTGTGCTTTGTCAGTTCTCTGCTGGTTAACGGCCTCGCCACGCCGTGTTGGTGATGCGGGTTGCTGACCATACTTCACCAAGCTGGACAGTGAAGGATGTTGGCAGGGAGTGCACAGGACTGGTTCAGAAATCACTCGCCGTGATGTTAGCTGTGGCTGGGAATCGAACTCGGGAGTTTCTTAGTGCACTAACCACTGCCACACCCCACCCTGTGTTAGAGTGATCAGAATTTAAATGTGATTCCCCCAATTGCTGTGACCAATATGATTATACTATCCATTTCAGACACGGTTTTCAATGAGAATGTGTTTAGAGCTCATTGAGATGCTATCATAGCGAGATGTTAACTACCTCGCCTGATATACAGGAGGTCGGAGGTTCCATCCCCGACCCTGACGCCTGCTTTATATTTGGAGTTTGCATGTTCTCCCCGTGGTCGCGTGGATTTTTCTCCAGGTTCTCCAGTTTTTTCCTTATACATTTGGAAACATTTGATAAGCCACTTCGTTGGGCTATCATTTGTGGCTAGGTCACTTCTGAAAAAGATATATAGAGCTCAGTGGGCCTTATCTGGTAAAATAAAAAATAGTTGACAGTTTATCTTCTTTGCAAGCGAGACCTTGCCAAATCCACTTTTGAATGCCCTGAACGACACCGCTTGGAAAGTGCTGGCAAACATCGCAAATAGGGCTGCGTTCAAACGCTTCGTGCAGCAAACGTCAATTTGAGCAAAGCTGCGCACGAAAAATTGGACCGGGTTTTGCTTAGCAAAATGGATTTTTGATTCCGTGCATTAATTAACTTTTGTGTTCAAAGTATATTGAAGTCGGGGGTTCGCTTCTACCGACTGTATAACAAAAAAGGGAAGCATAATTCAATCAGGAATAATGGCTGGTTGGGCCGGCTTGTACGTACGGCGGCCCACCGCCTGCAAATTGTATTGGACAGGATCTGGAACAATGAGCGAGAGCTCACAAATCAGACGCGCCTTTTCCTCCCGGGGGGGGGGGGGGGGGGTGGGGGGGGGGGGGCTGGGAGGGTGCACTGACCCAGGCAGAGCTCACTGGAAGTCTGTGTGTGGGCTGACCTGCATGCCAAGCAATTTAAACTTTGAACACGAAAAGAGTTATAGTGCGTCACACACACACACACACAAAAACTTTGCATATGTTTAAAGAGGGGAAATTTATGATTCGCATAGCGCAGAAGTCACGGGGCCTCGGAGACTCGTAGACGTTGAAACGGCGACTGGCTGAAATAACGATTGCAGGCATCGGTCGTGGTTAAAACATTTCGGTGCACAGTGATTCTTCGTGTTGATTTAGAGCTGGCGAAAAGGGGCTGCACGGAGTCCGCTGTTGGCGCTTAGTGGCGCATCAGGAGTCGTACAATCCTCATGGACACTTGCATGGAAACATAAACATGCAAGCAAAGATCACCCATGCAGAGATGCAGATCTCCAGGGCTAGCGCTGTTAAAATAACAGCTCTTTGTCCAGCCACTGCCGGACGAAGGGTCCTCCCTGCGCTGCGTCGGTCATGCGCACTTCACCACGCTGCCGCGTTTGGGGTTGTAAGCCGGGGGGGCCGGGGTGGCAGGGCAAGTTCAGATATCACTCACCGTTGAGGTTAGCCACGGCCAGGGAGCAAACTCAGATTTCCGGCTGTGCCGCCATTGCTCCCCCACACACAGTCACGCCACCACTCGGTCGCACGCACGCACGCACAGGGGCATCGTCACCGGCTTTTTGTGCGGTAGGCCGCGAATTAAATTGCCGCTTGTACGGGCCCCGGCGTCCGCGTTGGGAGTGAATCGTTATCAACTCTCTGGGGCTGGCGGAATCCCTTGGCTAAAAGACGCCTTTCGGCCGCCATGCATGCCCCTTGAGAGCGGACGGTGGACGTTCCCGGCTACGGACCGTCTTTTCCCAGAAGACCGCTGGATGTGTTCTTCCAAAATGCCCTTCCATTCATCCCACTCTTTTCTGAATTACCTGCGACAACAGAGAACTTTGAATTGCCCAATAATGGCAGAACGCCAAGGCTATTTCCTCTCTTGACGCGCGCGCGACAAATATCGATGCTGTTTTCTAGTGCTTAGCTCCGGACCGTTTCTCCTCCACCTGCTCTGCATAGGAAATGTAACGCCTTTTCAAGGCGAGTGCCTCTCCTTAATCCCTTTGTTTTGGCGGCTTAGTCATTTGCTTTGCTTGGCGGTGGGTGATGTTTTGGTTCAAGCACGCGCTCATTGTTTTGCCTAAACACACCGGAGGGTTTAGCTTGCCCTGCCACGGGCCCGATAAGCAGAGCATTTGCTTGCGAGCCGCTTTCTCAGAGCCAGGATTATTATCCCCATCACGCAATCCTCGCCCCCCCCCGCCTCCCGACATGAGCTCCACCACCGCCGCTACCGCCAATTTGCGGACTCGAGCCGCCTGCGTTGTAATCCCCGGCTCGGGCGGCGTGGCCCCGATTGCATTACCTCCTCCTCTGTGCCGCTGCCGGGGGAATTGGCCAGATCTGTGTGGCGTTTTGAGTTGGTCATTTCAGTGATATGTCTGACTCCAGGCTGGGGGAAACATGCACCCAGGAGGCTGTGGGGAATGCAAGACTGCAATTGGTTTTTCCCGCAGCATTTCTTGGTCGCGTTATGAAGAGGGAGACGCAAGCAACAACAAAAAACGGCCTTCGCCTGCTGTCGAATTTAAAGCCAGACGCTGCTCTTAAATTAATCACAAAGACACAAACAAATCCGTTCATATGTCTTCATTACACCCGTGCTAGATTGTTATTGATTTAATTTGTTAGGAATGTAATGGAGCTCACGACGCGGCCCCCTTTGTGTTGTCGCAGCCCGCGCGACTTACGCCGCCTCGTTTTGAAGGCTCGGAGGTGCAATTGACGCGCGACGCGGCTCTCGCGCGTGACTCTTGTCGCAGGGGCTGCTCGGAGCACTGCCGCGTGCCCATGATGGAGTACAAGTTCGGAGAGGCGGGCGCGCCCTTCGACGTGAACCGCACGCCCTTCAAGGCCCCCGTGTGGCAGCGCGCGACGCCCACCGCAGGCTCTGCGCCCTCGCCGACCTCGGGTCACGCGCCCGGCACCCGCAAGGGCCCCTCCGCCACCGGCTCTTCGCCGCGCCAGCAGCCGCCGTTGCTGGCGCAGCACCCGTCCACGTTGCCCCCGCACCACTCACAGGCCCTGTCGCCGATGCAGGCGCAGCCGCCGCACGGACTCATCCTCTCGGCCCAGGGCCAGGGCGCCATCCCGCGGAGCTTCTCCGTCGACGGCAAGGCGGCCGAGAGCGGCAAGAGGTGCGACGCGGTGTGACGCGGCGGGGGGTGGGTTCTGGGGGGTGGGTTCTGGGGGGGGGGGCGGTGATCCTGTCTCCTGGGGGGGGCCACCTGTGGCTCATTCACAATTTAAGGTTGCCCGTCGGCAGAGCGTTTGACTCGATGGGAAGGTCTCGACTTAAAGCTTTCGTGACTGCAGGAAATCATATTCTTTGGGTCTTTCGGTAAAGTCACGTAGATAGGGTCAAAGAAAATAACAAAAAATTACGAAAAACAACTGACGTTTCGATCGCAACACAAGCGTTCGTCATCAAGAAGAGGGGGGTTAGCTTCTAAACCTTTATAAACAGTTTACCTTTAGAAGCTAACCCCCTCTTCCTGATGACAAACGAAACGTCGTAGTTTTTTGTTATTTTCTTTCGACCTATCTACGTGACTTTACCGAAAGACCCAATCGATGGGAAGGGTTTTCATGTTCGAAATCCCGGTCGGGTCGTCGACTCCTCGGCCCGTCGTTGCTTCTCGATCGATGAAATGAGTATCGCTGTGTGGGACGCCAATGGTGGTGGTGGTAGTGTTATGGATACACTGGTCCTCGCCACAAAAATGTGGAATTTCCACCACCGGCTCAGGCCTATCAACAGAGATGTTAGCTGCCTCCGGTAGTGTGAGGAGTGCCCATCATGCGTGCGTTAATTCAATCTAGAAATTGCAACGTTCCGAGGGTTAATTAATCTCATTGCTTTGTTGTGAAGGGTCTCCATTTCACATTTACTATTAATTGGTGCAATTTGTAAAGGGGGTTCCCACAGGAATATGTTTTACAAAGTACAGTGAATGTTAAACGCCAAAATTACAACGGGAATATCCTCACGCGCAGGTCTCGCCCGCGACCGAGACTCTTTCTCTCGTCTTAGGGCTTTGATCGCGTTTAAAATAATGCGCGTAACAATGACGGTGATGATTTTGCTGTCGGTATCATAATAATACTTATTCCATAAATTTGTAGGTGGCAAGACTGTACCTCTCGACATGAATCGTGACAGATCACAAATTGGTCTACTCCGTGCTACGGTACAAGATTAAACACTTTATCAAGGTCGCAAGCACTGCCAATTAAGCCCGGCTTTTGTGGAAACTGCACCTCCGATATGAGACAAAAACCTTTTCGCAAATACGGGCAGTCTTCGGGTGATTACTCTTAGATTTAGCGGCCACAGCAGCAGCAGCAGCAGCTTCCAGAGCGTCAGTGTTGAACAAGTTCATGTTACCCAATTTCATATCTTCGGCCTGCAGATGTTTGTTTACATTTCCATGCCGCTGGCACTGGCTTAGTTTGCCGTCGCGAAAATTCCATTTTTTTAAATCCATATTAAACGCAACAAAGTTGCGATATTTTTTTTCAAAGAATTTCATTGACTGCCTGTAAATGCTCTGTAATTGGTGTCTGCTTGAAATGTGTTCTTGCGTGAAGCTGGTGCACGCATTCTTTGGATTTAAATAGAAATCTGGAATGAGGTTTTTTTTTTTTAATCCGCAATTTCGATACCGCAAATAAAACCACAGCCCCAGTCGCAAAACTGCTCTCAATGTAACGCGCGATTGGAGCTTTCTCCTCAGTAGGCTCGTCTGATAAGCTCGTTGAATGTAGCTTTTCCTAATAAGTGTATTTTATGCCGAACTTTTTAATCCTTTCTACGTGCATTACATTCGCCACATTTGTTGGCTCGCATGCAGGTCTGCGGCTTGCACGTCTCATGATTGCCTCAGTGTAATGAAGATGGCCTTGGTCAGCTTATAATCTCGCTAGAATGGAGGAACAGCGTCGTTGCAGGAATTTATCTGTGCCTGTTACTCGAGGCAGCTGTAGCTCTGAAGTGACGCAGAAAGACTCGAGCGTCGTGTTCATTCAGGATTGCGCCATTTGCGCGTCGGCATCAAACATAAAATGACTATTTTCAACGCTCCCGGCGCATACTGCGGCGCATTTGAACAGTCGAGTGCACCGAGCTCTTGTTGAGAAGCCAGGTGGTCCTGCCGGGGTGTTGTTTTTTTTTTCCCTTCCTGTGGCCAAAACTCTCGGGGACAATATCTGACGCACGCGTGATGGTTGGACGCGTCGGATCGGAGTGGGCGGATTTTTTTCGTTATCTCGGAAACGGGAGAGAATGGGGCCGACGGCGCTGCCTTCGAGCACCGCACCGCACTCCACTCCACGCGTGAACGGACGTGACTCACCGTCTCGGCACATGGACAATCTGCCACTGCTTTCTTTCAACCCTGTTTACACAGTGACAACGGTGGTGCCGCCCCCCTCTACGTGCGCGCACTGAGTGTCGGGTCTAAATGTATTTTGCGTAACAATTTTTAACTTGCGCACGACTACACGTGCAGTCGCGATCTGTCGTTTGCGTAACTTGTGGGTACATAAATTATGCTCCGTTAACTTTGGGGTTTACGATAGCCGAGTGCCATTCAATCCCGCGGCGATTCCAGAGAATTGCCATGGTTCCAAAATCGTGATTCGACACGTGAATGAATGCTCTCTATCTTATTTTTAACATCTCGTTTGTACTGTTTGCCACATCAGCTTCAAGATAACGGCATGGAATTTGCGCAATGTGTACGCCATCGATCCTCGCGCACACTGTTCATTGCGTGTATCGTGAGCTCAAGCGTCGATTGGAATCAATGCATCGTTGCTTGCCATGATAATACGGCGATATCCACATTTCACATTGCGCTTCGCCTGCTTGATAGTTTGTGGTATTTCTCGCCTCGCTAATCACGGTAACCGGGCGGGCGGGCCGGCGAGTCACGAGGGTCTGGTGTGCGATTCCCACCCTCGGCTGCCGTAATAGTTGAGGCTTGGCGCCATGTGCGATGCCCTCGGTGCGAGTGGGCTGGGCTTTTAGCACCGCCGATAGCAGCAGTTGGTGATGAGTGACAAGAGCCTCGCCCACAAGAAAGCAAACGGCGCTCGCGTTGATTTTAGTGGCGGTTTTGTTGCATGACTAATCAAGGTTCATGCGCTTTGGCTCAACATCATTCAGCTTCTTTTTTTGGTAGCACTGGGAAATTCCGCCGTGGCTTGGAAGCGCCGGCTAAGTCTGCTAAGTGCAAATCTGTGTTAGTGGCAGGTGGAAGATTGATTGCCGTTGTAACGATTTTATCTAAAGCTTTGCGAGGCACGGATAAAAGCAGGCTCTAAAATGGTTCGGGGCAAATGTCTGATAACGCGACGTGGGTGGTGGCCGTTACATTAATGTCTCCTTATCTGCCCTGCCGCCTTTCTGCATCCCTTTGTCCTTCCCCCTCGCCCGTCCTGTCGCCCCGCTCTCCGCGCCCCTCCGTGTCCTTGCGCGTCCTCGCCGCACCTTCCCGCTTCTCCCACGCCGCCCCGTCCCCTCCCCCGCCTCGCCAGGGGGGTTACGGCGGTGGACGGCCGTCCCGTCGGAGCGGAGCGGCACGCGCCGCACCGGGGCTCCCCGTGCGCGCTCACCACGCCGGGGGACGCGGGGCCCTCGCGCAGGCAGCGGCCTGCGCACGACGGGTACGCGCCGTGCGCACGAGCGCAACTCAGGCCGAGCATTTCGACAGGCGTCACCACCTCCTCGTCGTCACTGGCGAAGGATGCCGTCGTCGTTAACGTCATCGACGATCACGACCACCGTGATCGTCGTCGTCGTCAACGGTGTCGACATTGTTTTTATCAGTCGACATCATTGCCATTGACTTTGTCATCGATATGATAATTAATTATCTACATTGTTTTAATCATCGTTGAGGTGGCCGGGAGTATATTAGGAGAGTCGCAGCACCAAGCCAACATTGTTGGGATCCTGGGTTTTAGATACCCATGGCCTCAGCTTGATCACCAATTACTTCACAAAAAATCAGCGTGTCATGCTTGATTTGTGGATTAAATTGGCGTCTTCCAACTGTGAGAATTATAAACGTAGCTACAATTCGTATGCGATGAACATTATTTGCTGTGCATATAAAGATGCCTGTGTTATTGAAGCGGCTTCAGCAGTAGGTCTGTGGAGCAAACTTCCAAGGCCCTCATTAGACACGGGGGGTGGCGCAGCGGCAGCTGCTAGGGCTCCCGTCAAAATGTATTCGTCTCATAGCTCGGTACTAAAAACGGCACAAGTGCCGGTGGGAGGGTGGGGAGAAACACCACTTTCATCAGGATCACCGTTGTTATCGTCACCATCGCCGTCATCACCGTGACAAAAAAATCAAATCAATCACATTTTTAAGCATTCGTCCTCGTTCCTGCCAATGGTTGCATAAGCCATCCCCCCCCCCCCTCTTAAAAAGAGACCTTAGTCTCAACGTGTTCTCTCGTGGAACGCCGAGGGACGAGGATGACTGCCATCGTCTTCGTAGGCACGATGTGCAGGTGCCCCCCCCCACCCCCCCCCCCCCCACGTTCACGAGCGAACGAGCGCGTGGCCCACGACGCCAATGCTTCGCCTCCGTGACTTGCGTGCAAACGGCGCGATCCGCATCACGGCGGTTCATTGAGCAAATTGATAATTGCACGTGCAATTATGGTGACGCCAATTGCGTGACCTTGCTGCGTCTTGGTTGGAATTTAATGTCTCTTTATAATTAGTTTTTTTTTGCATATGTGTATATTTATTTATTTATCCGTGTGCGTGTTTTGTCTGCCTCTTTGCAGCCAGAAAATGCCGGCGTCCGTCTGCCAGGACGCGGTTGACACCGAGATGAGCGTGGACGGAGGCACGAGGAGTCGCAGCGGCACCCTCGAGAGGGAGAAGCCGAAATCCATTGGTGCGTGCAACAGTGCTGATAATCGCACTCCAGGCCCCGCTGACTCATCGGCCACAATCGGCTTTTCTCAATTACGAGCACAGCCCTAACGTAATTAATTCACCATTGCTCCTATCGATCCTGGAAACGCGACTTACGCCATTTATGAGTCATCTCCGCTTAAGATCGCAGCTTCGGTTGGGAGGGGGTGGACCCTGAGTGGAGGGGAGAAGGGGTTTGACCGTGCCACTTCTGCTTATCCCCAACACCGAGCGGGTTTAGGCTGCACTCCAACCGCATTCGCTCACCCTACCCTGAAATCGACCCAGCATTCTGATTTCATATGACATTTGAACATTCATTAATAATTCAGCATCGTGAAATAATCAGCCAACCGAGTTCCGGTCAGCTGGCCGATGCCAGCTGTCCGGCGCCGGCACAAGAGCGGAGGATCTCGCGCAAGGCTGCGCGGTCAGCGAGCGCTGCTTTTTTATTGCGTCCATTTCTCAGCCACTCGGACGATAAATGTCAGCCGTCAATTGACGTTCTCGTCCGTCACCTCGGGTTTGCATCATCGGCATTGAGCAAACGGAGGTCTTGGCATCCCAGATTATACGATGCATTTCCGTCGGCATTGAAGTCCGCAGCAGAGGCGTGCTATTGCGTGATGCGCCGGGAGAGCAATAGCCACCGAGGTCACGATTACGCGGACACGACGCGCTACTGCGCAATAGCAGCGACCGCTTCTCGTGATGGTGGGGTTGGTGGGGGGGGAGTTTGGCGCGTGGTGGGGTGGCGCCTGCCTCCGTCCCCGTCACTCGGCCGTCTCGTTGACCCGGCAGTGGCCCGGGACGGCGGCGTGGACGTTTTTGCCCGAGAGTCGCACGGGCGGCCTCCTCGTGGGATGCAGGGAGAGCGAGCCGAGGTCGCGACGTAGCCACTCGTGAGCTCGGAGGCAGTGGGGTGGATAAAGAGGGTTATGTTTATCTTCACGTGTTCAAACTGACTTCCTTGAACAATCGTACGTGAATGAATTGTGTTTTTAAATGAATTTAAGATGGGTTTTTTTTACGATTACAGGTGTAATCTCTGAACATCAATTTTGTTTTGCCTCAATTCATTCGGGTTCTTGGTGGAGTTTGTAAACCATGGATTTGAGGTGACCCCACAGGAAGAAGAAAACTAGATATGAATTACATTAATAGATACAATATTCAATTCAACATTTTAATGCCAATGTAAAAAAAAATGAAATGACCATATGTGTCCTCACTTTTGGGCCACCCAGTATATTTTCGTAAAATATTTTCTGGCATCAAAAGTGTGCACCCACGTAAGCCTCTGCAGTGAGCAATCTTCTCTCCGCCGTGAGGAGAGCATCAGCAGGATGCTCACGTCGAGGATTGCGTGGATGTTAATTAGTAAAAAAAAAAAATTATGCAGCGCCTTCGTTCGTGATGGTCCTGCGCGTTGTAAGTTTGGCTTGATTGCCAAATGTAATAAATAATAATAATTGCGCAATCCGGCGTCTCTCGAACGCGAGCGAGTGCCGCGCACTCAAACTCGACGTGACCTTCGCATCTCGTGCATTTGTCCGGATTGATGCGCTCTCGTGCTGCCGATTGTAGCGTTGGACAAATCGTTGCGTGCCGCGGTGGCTCATAACCTGGGGGCTGCGCGTCGCCCGGGAATGGGCTTCTGTGAGCCCCGAGGGCACTCGCTTGACCCCGGCGTTCTCTGCGGTGCGGCGACGCACGCACGCGTAGAGCTCCGAGCACAAACGAACCCTTGCCTAATCTCACACCTGAAACTCTCCGCCAGCGTGACGTTTCAGATGTGAAAACAATTTATCGCATTTTGTCATCGTAATCATTTGATCGCAGTCCAGCGAAATGGCTTCCTGGCCTGTGTGGATTTTTGCCCGTCGCGATGGGCATTCCTTCCTGAATTCAAACGTACTCGTGAGAGATTGGCCAAGTATTCCGGTGTGAAGAACTCCTCCTTGAAAAAAAAAGTCTCTTGTAACTAATGCTTGCACGCATAAATTGCTGTTTCCCGTGTAGAGTTACTTTACGTAGTATGCAAACGTGTTTGGTTACACTCATCGGGGTGTGCAAGGATCGTTGGCCACAGCTGCAGCCACCGCCGGCCCCTTTGTTTTTGTTTAATGGACATTAAGATTCACGTCACGAATGGGTCCTCCTGCGTGCTTTAACGACGCCAGTGCCGCGGTTGCCTTTTCGGGGGCAGCCGTCCGTGCTGCCGCAGCTTCACAAACCCAGCGGCGGCTCTGCAGCCTTCGCGTGCCGCGTTAATCTTCTCTCGGGGCTCGGTGAGTCATCGTTTCTCATTCGGCTTCCTTTGTTTTCCCCCCCCCTCCTCCCCGCGATGAACGTCACCACGTTGATGGCGGTGGCCGGTGTGTCGGTGTCGTCCCTTGCAGAGCCCATGTGGCACGTGCCGGCGGGGAAGGTGCCGTCGTCTTACCGGGACAGCCCCACTCGCCGGGTGTCACGCCAGGATGCCAACGGGAGGGACTCGCCGGGCAGGGCGGCGCAGGTAGCGTGGCGCAGTGTTGCAACTGTCCGGCCGTGGTGTGTGGTGGTGGTGCGATGAGCAGCAGACGTCACGCGAAACCACAGAGCGATAATTTTCTGGCGAATAATAATCATGATTCAAAATGTTGTTTATCCAAACTTGTAACGCACCTCACACAGGAACCACAGACAAGCAGGAAGGGCAGCCAGGCGGTGAGCCAGAGCGGTCAATTGCCCAAGCTGTGCGACCCTCTATATATAAAGATGTTTTCAGCCAATTAATGAAGAAAAGCAGAGCATCCGGAGAACGCCCACATGTGCGTGAGGGTAGTCCACGTTTTTGTGAGGATCAGCTTCTCCATAATCTGACATTCATTGATTTTGCACAAAGTGGTATCTATTTTATCAACCACGATGAGATGATAGGTCGAGTCGATCCCCCCCCCCGTTTCGGCTGCGGCTTGTGCCCGCTGCCGCAGTGCCACGTGGCCAAGCGTCGACTCCTCGGCCGCTTCGCTATCGGTGATGACGCCAAATAAATAAATGTATCTTAGTTTTCAGGTCGCGTCATTCCTTGCCTCAGGATTTCAAACGGCACGCCCAATCGTGCTTGAGGGGGCGCTCCTTTTATCTCTGACCTGCCCCAACAGCGAGCAGTTTGTCAAAACAGCTGCTCTCTAGGTGGGTGGGGGGGGGGCCTTTAAAAGGCATAAAGAAGCTCTAATGATGTAAAATAATCTGCAATAGGCAGGCCGACTGCCTCTTTCCATTTTAGCCCCTCACGCTCCATTACCCTCAGCCAGCATTACCTGCGGGGGGCCGGGAAGAGGGATGTGTGGGGCAACCAGCGGGGAGAGCCGTCTCGCTCAGCCAAGACCACCGTACGTGCCCTGAGGTAGGGCAGGAGGGTGCCATGATGCGATTTGGCAGTGAGACCCATGCAGAGTCGGAAGATTCCTTGTGTAGCCTTGAACAGATTGTTGGGTATCGTGCTCTTAAGCGAGTGCCAATTAAAGCCAGCGCGGAGCGCGGCGGGTGGCGTGGCCAGTGCCACGCCCGGCCGCCTTTGTCTCCCCAGTGGCGATGTTTACACACCGCGCCAGGTACTAATTTGAGGCTGAGTCGACCTATGGGAGGCCCAGTACCGGTTCAGATAATTAATCGTCACTGGTGTTGGCCGTGAGCGGGAATCGAACCCGGGTCGCCGGGTTCATAGCGCAGCGCGCAAACCGCTGCACTACGGATCCCCACGCTACACAAACATGCACACACGTGCGTGCGCGCGTACCTTTCGCACGTGTCCTTCCAGGGTTTGTGAACATCCGACATGAGGGCACCACTCATTTCACTGATTCCAGGGTAAATGTTACCGCACATCGAGCGCAAAAGGTACAATACGTTGAGCACCACGATAAAGGTCATTCTCTGCTGGGAGCTTGAATTAGCGGACCACAAATCAAGCGGCTTGAGATGAGATTCGCGTGGCATGCTCGCCCAGGCAATTACCGCTTATCCCTGCTGTTCGGCACTCGGATAATCCCCCCCCCCCCCCCGCTCTTATTGCTCTTCGTGTTAATTAATGATGGGCGATAACTTGACCTCTTAATATGTTTATATACAGTATTTATCTGTAGCCTTGCGTTTAGAGCGCGATGCTTGTAAGCGGAAGGTTGCAAATACAAATATTAGTCGGGGGGTCCATGCAGCTCATCATCTTCATTTCTCCGGGGTGGTTAAAACGAGTACCATTTTTTTGGAAAGTCAACGGCAGCGGCTGTGTTTTCATTCAATAAATTAATTGGGTTAATAGATACCATTTTGGCCCAAACATTTTCAGAAAACAAACGACCTCCTTGAAACTTGAAACTTGATATGCTCGTTTTTACTGCCACTTGATTCTTGGGTTGTATTTGAAGCTGGTTATTTCTTTACACAGTCTTGAGAATGACGTTTTTATTTACCTGATTTACACAAACTATTGATTAAAATCTTTCTTTATTTTCTCTTTGCTCCCGATTTAATCCCAATATGACTCTGGGTGTCAGGAGATGAAGAATCGATTAAGAGCGCCTTCCGAAATAGCACACAACTCTTACGTTAGAGAGCGGCCTACGGATGGAGGTATTTAAATATCAAATCAGTTATGGGCAAGGAAAGATCCCCACCAAGATGATGTTCACTAAGCAGTCAATCCGCGGAAGCTGGCTTGTGGACTTGGCAGGAATTAAAAGGTCTCATAGTTGCCTGTTGAGATGTCTGGAGATTTAACAACAACAAATGACTACGGTTGGAGTAGCTTCAGCTTGATGAGCTCCTTCCTGTCCCGTAACAGTTCAGACACGACGTCCTAATCCCGTTTTTTAAAGAAAGGAGATATATTCCTACCATGCCTGATACAGAGACAAACGTTCGTCGTGCGATAGTCAAACTAATGTTCTTAATTATCACATCTGGAATTTGAGACATTTTAAGCGCAGGGTCAAATTTAACATGGTGGGTTTTTTGTCCGTGCACAATTCACTGCACACGAGGACCTTGTTTAATGACAGGTGGCCGATACCCGGATGTGAACCTCGGTTCACTGCTCGGTGCGCTGACCTCTGAGCCACCCGGCCGCCTCGATAATTTTAGTGCAGCGCGCTTTGAATTTCGTTGCCTGTGGGCGTTTGAAGAAAATTACCATCGTGGCTAGCGTTGCCCGACAAGTCGGCTTTACTCCCGAGAGAATAGAGCTGCTTTGTCGCGAGGTTGATTGCAAAAACAAAAGCGATTGCGTGCGCGTTCCAGGACGGTTCCCGCAGCACCGTGGCCGTACGACGCATCTCCTCCCCAGTGAGATGGACATCTCGGTAACTCGAGCCCGTTCTGGGGCCCGTCCTGACAATGTTTCAAAACACTCTGGCCCGCGCGAGCTTCGGGTATCTCCCTCGTTACTGCTCCTCCGACTACGGCAATGCCGGCACGACGGCGATGTGCCAGGACGGATGGGCTAATATTGAGACTCACCTGCCCTTGATATTTAATACTTTGGAAAACAAGTTTTCCTCCTTTTTAATCAACTAGAGACGAGTGGAGCGTGTGCGCAAGAGTAGGCGGCGGGGTCGTCCGTCGTCGCGTTTGAGTTGCTGCGTGCGGAGCGCGTTATCTGTCCCTGGCCGTGGCAGCGGCGCAGCTACCCGCATAGCGGTGCAGCCCTTGAGTGCAACGTTTGCCCCCACCCCTCACCCCCCCACCCCCCCACCCCCCCACCCCCCACCCCCCCACCCCCCACCCCCCCACCCCCACCCCCCCCCTCTTGCGGCCTCCACTGCAGGCTCCGTGTCGCGTTTGTCGTTGGGATTAAACTTGGCGACAGCCATCAAGTGCAGTACACCTCACGAACCGTGCCGCACGGATAAGACTAAACGACGGATCGCGTGCCAGAGCCCGTAATGAGCTATTGCAACTTTGCTGTGTGAATCCTGCCCCTTCGTATGTCATATTACCACAGTGCCACAAATAACATTTATGTTACAAAAATATTTATTTTTTACTAAATAATAGTTGGGGGTGACCAGTTAGACATCCTTCCCATCGTCGTTTAAATTTCGCTTGCGATGAGATCTTTCTCTCTCTCTCGAGTGCCACCGTTTGCACAGAGCTGCTCTAAGTGGATTGCGGTTCAGTCTGATCGTGTCAGGGACGGTAGCGCTGACGAGGCATCTGGCAGGGTGGTGAATTATACATGGGCAGCAGAGATGCGGAATTGGTGTGTGCAGGTGCCAGAGACCTGTGGGTCCGGAGAGAGGGGTTACACGGGGGGGGGGGGAAGGTAGCCCCATGCTCAAATGCATTTCTAAATTGAATTGCAGCACTGAACCCACATGGCACGTGCGGTGCCATTTAAAGTGGCAACTTTTGCGCTTGAGCGAACACACGGCTTGTAAGCAATTCACACAAAATTTGGCAGTGGAGCCGCGACGATATTGTAAGTTTTTTAATGCGCGTCTGTGAATCGCTTTGAGTTCGTAGACATGTGACGGTGGTTGCGATCGGGGTTAAAAATTATCAATGCAAGAGTCGTTTAACCAGGCTCAGTTGGTGAGCGCGTTGTCCGTGTCGCTGAGACCAGAGCAGCATCCAACAACATCCGGCTCGCCACCGCCAGGAGAGCAATTTGTAAATTGTGAGATTTTTTTAACTAAAGTGTTTTGCTTATTTGGCTGGTTTTACCTAAACTGAAAATGCGGAGGATTATTTTAAATCTACTTTTTACCTTGAAATTTGACGCACGCGTGCACCGTCGCCCTTGACGGCCAGCGGCAAGCACCGCAGGCGTCGATTCGGTGCCGGCACCGGCGACGTGACCCACGATGCCGCCCCGGCCACGCCTGTCCGCAGGCCGTGGAGCACCGCTACTCCAGCCACTCGAGCAGCAACACGCTGTCCAGTACGGGCTCCAGCTGCGCCAGCGACGACCGCTGGTTTCACCCGAGCGACGGCGCCCCCTCGGACCGGGACGCGGCCTCCGGCGGCGGCGGCGGCGGTGGCGCCGTGGCGGTCTCCATCACTTCCCAGCAGCTGACGGCGCCGGGAACGTCCACGGACAGCGGCATCGACACGGCGACGCCGCGCGGCACGCCGCTCGCCTCGGGCCACGCTTCGGCCCGCGCCGCCCGGGGGGACGGGAGCGGTGCCCACAGGGCGGCCGGGGAACGCGCGCACAGGGGGGGCGGTCGCGACGACAGAGGGACCGCGCGGTCACACGGCAGCCCACTGCATTCTGGGAGTCCCTCCAACATTCCTTCCCAGTCCAGGTACGAGGCCGCGTCCCTCCTCCTCCCCTCCACTGCTCCCAATCGACTTTGGCTGCACTTTTTGTTTGAGTTTTGTCGTCTTTGTTCATTGTCAACAAATCAAAGGAAGATATTTTTCTTTTTTACCCCGGACTTGGAATGTAGTTGTAAATAATGACTCGCACTTAATGCTGAAAAGATTTAAGTATTTGCACGCGTACACAAGATATAGAGTTAGCACGTGATATTGTGACCATGCTATTCACCGTCTAGTACTTAAGCGTGTACAGGATTCTCATTGTGCTGCTGTCTCTGCCGTCTTCGTCAGATTTTCAGAAGTTCTCAACCTCTTATCTTCATCCAGAATGTTCCACGCCTTGGGAAACGTAGAATTCGTTCGGTAAATCAGCGCGCCGATGCAGTTCATAGCAGCGCGGTCATGATGGTGCTTGGACACATTGCATCATGGGAGAGGTCACAAGGAAGCCAGGGTTGGCTTCCTTTCCAGACACCGCAATCGACCACCACCAGCGCTTGCGCCTGCGTTTCACTCGCGCGTATTCTCTCCCCGTGCAATTGTCTCGGTTGCTTTTCGTACCAATTTTGCGTGCAACCGGACCTTATAGGCAAGATCTTTTTCCATTTAATGGTTTGAAAACACAGACACCGCAGCTAAGCGTGTGATTGAAAGGGAAACTCCGTGCAGTTTCTCTGTAACGATGCGATTGGCACAGAAGTACCTTGAGCTCCATTTGTGAACTCCGGCGGGGCAGCCATTGGGTACAACCTGGCCAGGTGAGACTTGGGCTTGCGCTCGCTTTCCCTGCAACGTGTGTGCGGCACAACAGCGGTGCGCGACTGGCGACGTGCCGTTGGGACGGCAAGCGCTGCTGCTGATTCTTTCTTGCAGCGGCACAAACTATCGTCTCCCCATGCCGGCACAGATGAGGCGCCGCTTGCGTTCCCATACGTGCGGTTACGCGGAGGCGATAAATCGGCTCGGGTCCACAGGGTGGCTTCTGGTGGGGGTGACGCTGGGTGTCTGCCAGGTGGGGCTCCCTCTTGAAGCAGAGCCGCCACCTGGTTTATTCCAGGAATGCCCTGCTGCATGCTGCCCGTCGGGCTCACTGGGAGCTGTTGCCATGCTTCATCATGGGGCTTCACAAATGACGCGCTTGTGTCTCAAAACACTGACCGTACAGCCTGCATCGCACACTTGCTGATTCTTTTAAACACGTGTTGATTATTTTCCTGATTGACCAATTCCGAGTGGCTTGTCTCATCCCCCCACCCCCACTCACCGCCCACGCCCCCTGACCCCCGCCCTTGTCGCGCACTGCAGTAGCTCGCGGCATGCCGGCAGCAGCCCTGGCACGCGCGCTCGCAGCAAGAGCTCCCTGGGCGAGGAGGGCCGGGGCGTTGGGGGCGTGGGCCCCCCCTTCTACCCGCGCCAGGGTGCCAGTGGGAGCTACCTGAGGGGGTGGAAAAAGCCCGAGAGCCCCAACAGCAGCGAGAACCGCAGGTACCGTAACACAGAGCCAAAGACGGGACGTACGCGTGCGGTGCGTGCGTGGGCGATCGCACGGTGGGTTCCGGAATTGCAAGAACCCGGGGCATTATAATGACTATTTAATGACATGTATTATGTTGTAATGTCATAGGGAGGTTATTTGCCTTCGTGTCTGTTCGATCGCACAAGATGTGCTCTTCGCAGCCGAACGTAAAGTACGTTCACGTAGAGAGGGAGCTAGTTAGAGAGGGAGCGAGGGAGCGAGGGAGAGAGTGAGAGAGGGAGAGAGGGAGATGTAGGTGTGCACGGAGTTCGTTTGTCTCTCGGCGCGGGGACAGCGACGATGGAGGAGGCGCTAGGGCCGGGTAATTTCGAGCCCCGTGCCCGAGCACATCGCGTTCCGCCTGCGATGATGGATGGTGTCAGCGTGGTGCGACTGTTGGGCCATTCATCATTTTAAATTGGATATTCATCAAGTAAATGGAGTGCACAGCTGCGGGGGAAGCGCGTGTGCTACTCTACGCAGGCGTTTTGACGCCATCGGCCTCGCCACCGTTTTTGTCGGAGCATCTCGGTAACGACGCTGCCGGTAACGTTATGATATTAATAACCGCGCTACGCATATCCACACCAAACAAATAACAGGCCGAGTAAAAATATTATCGCAGATTCTTTTCCGTCACTTAGAAGGAAGGAAGATATTGGAATGTTTGCTCCCAATGCATTATTTGGGGTGCAACTTAGCATAAATTAGAGTTGAAATTTATCCCGTGGGTCTCCATATTTCTTCTGAATAAGGCAGGGACGTGCAGTCAGGGAAGGCAGGGGAGGCAGAGCCTCGCCCGTCATACTGAAAATAGCTGTTACGCAAAGTCTAAAATAATCAAATTAATATTCAGATCTTTCCACTGATCTGTGTTATAAATGTAATTTGCAATCATTTTTATAGTAAAAATCGCCAAATCGACGGAGCTCCGCTGCAAAGACAGGGAGAGAGGAGAGGTGAGGCAGCGACGAGCTCCGCCTCCCCTCTGATTGTGCAACCCCTCAGTAACTGGATGGAGCGCGGGCAATAAGCGCGGGCCCCTTACTATGTCTCTGTATGTCACCAATGTAATGATTAAATTAGTCACCAATGTAATGATTACATTGGTGACATATTTTGGCAATAAAAATGATTGGAATCGTACAGAAATTACATTTATAGCACAGATCAGTGGAAAAAATCTTAATTTTTTTCGTAACAGCTATTTCCATTGGAGTATTAGAGGTGAGGCTCTGCCTCCCCTGCCTCCCCTGACCGCACGTCCCTGGAATAAGGTCGGGGGCCTCTTGAGAATTAGAAATCTGCTCGCGATACTGCCATCCAGTGTTGACCTCGTCGCCTCGCAGGCTGTTGTGAGCTTCACCCAGAATGAACGGCACGCCATCCACACCACCCCACCCCTACAGCTGGGCACTACATGCGTGTGCACTACATGTGCGTGTGCACTACATGCATGTGCACTACATGTGCGTGTGCTCTACATGTGCGTGTGCACTACATGTGCGTGTGCACTACAGGCGTGTGCACTACATGTGTGTGCACTACATGCGTGTGCACTACATGCGTGTGCACTACATGCGTGTGCACTACATGCATGTGCCGCCACTATGGTAAAGTACCAGCAGCTCCTGTTACGAACTCCGCCTGGAATGATTCACACCCCTGGAGATTCAATGAATGGTCGCAATTCAGGGTCCTGATTCGATTCAATAGTCGACTCGTATCTTACTCGTTTGTGCCGCCGCGTTCATCTTGTCCGTGCCGTATGTGTACCCGAGTTCGTTGCTCTGGGTTGTTCTTTCTCTCCGTCCCAAGGTATATTGGCAAATAGCGCGTAGCTCTCAAGTGAGGTATCTTTTTCCAAACGCGATTCGAGACGCACATTGCGAGCGAAAGAATCCACTCGCTCAGTGAACCGATGAATCATCTTACGCCTGGTAAGTGCGTATCGACCTCAAAACCTTTCATCACCTCCTCTGGCGGTCCTCGTTCAGTGCTGCTGTGTGGAGTTCACAGCCACGTGAACCGCTGTGCGATGAGGTCATGGCAGGTCGGGGCGGAGAGTCTGGTGTGTGTCTCGCTCCTCCGAGCTTTACGTCCGCTCCCACGCGCCCACGCCCCAGCCACGGGATAATAAAAAATTTTCGGCGGCTCGTGGGGTAATTGGTCACGAGGCAACGCACGACCCCATTAGCGCATTAGGTCGGCGCGTGTGCGGGGCGTGGGAGAGGGGGGGGGGGGCGCACGTGTGTGTGTGCGTGCGTGCACGCACACACAATGGGTTTAACGCGTTGCGCCGCGAAACTGACCTCTCCCCCCCCCCCGCTTGGTTCACGCGCCGGTCGGAGGTCGCCGTATTGCAATTTTGAAATGTCACGGTGTGTGCGCCAGGCGTCTGGGCAGCGACGTCAGCGACACCGTCTCGTGGGCGAGGCAGCGCGCCACCGCCACCGCGCGATCGCTGCGCAAAGCCGAGGCGGAGGCGGCGTCAGACGGGATCCCGGAGTTGATGTCGCCCCACGGCAGGATGCACGTTCGGGATGAGGTCCGTCACCCGTCCCCACTCCTACGGCTGCTCTTGGCTTGTTGGTCCACATTCGCGTGTGTGCGTGCTTGTGTGCGTGGATGAGCGTGTGTCTGTGTGCGTGCGATCGTGGTTTGCGTGTCTGCCGTATGTTGAATTTCTTTTGCACCGTACGTAGCCAGCCGTGCTAATCAGAGATGTTGCGTTCGTAGTGATTGTGTGTTCATAATGACTACGTGTTTCCAGTGACTGTCAGCAGTCACTGCGTTTCCGCAATAGGGAAACACAAAAAAAAACACATTCGTAGGTTTTAATGGATCGATGTTTTCCGAGACTCTGCAGCGCAAACATTTCCAAGCCGCTTTCTTAGAGCCTGGTCATCATTTGTTCAAATTAACACCGCGGAGAAAACGCACGGAGCTCAATTCGTCCTCGGAGCCACTCGGCAGTGTTTACTTGTGTCCATTACCACGCGGCTAATGTGGCTCAAGGAAGAAAGGGATAACATAATGCCGTGCCCTTGAGCCAATATTGAAGAATTTGGAGTGGCGACGCAGCACACACACATACAAACAAAGAGGCCCTGTATAGCCTGTAACAGACTGTTGGGGCCAAGTGCTGTTAGCGAGCACCTAATGCAGACCGGAACGGCACACGAGGGGGGGGGTGGGTGGCCAGGACGACCACCGGCCACATTTGTCTCCCGAGTTGAGGCTGAGTTGACCTAGGGGAGGCCCAGGATCAGTTCAGATAATCGTTCACTGGTGTTGGTCGTGAACAGGAATCGAACTCGGGTCGCCTGGTTCGTAACACAGCGCGCTAACCGCTGCTCCACCACTCCCCAATACACACACACCTCTGATTAGCACGGTTGGTTATGTAAGGTGTGGAAGAAATTCAACATACGTAGACGCACGCTCACACACACTGGATCTCCAGGCTCGATTCCCTTGCCCTGTGAGATTCCACAGACACTGGAGGAATCTCCCTGCAGCCTCTATTCACAAATTGGACACGATTCAAGCGCTCCTGAGATATGATGAATGGTTCCGAGATGTGGGTCACCGTTGAGATTCGCGAATCGATTCTCTCCTTGTCTCATTTGTACTCTCTCACCTTCACCGTCCTTCTCATTTCCATCGTCTGTCTCACGTTCCATCTCATTAAATCGCCAGCCTAAAAATAACATTTGCATGTCATCTCTGCCCACCTCTAACTAATCAATTCTCGCGCACACGATTGGATGCGCGCATATCATGACCACAATTAGAGATTTTAGTCTGATGAACCGAAGAATATTTGCCGAGTACCAGCAGGCCGCGCCAGCGGCAGCAGCACATTGTCCTTCCCCCACACCCCCGATTAGCACGGTTGGCTACGTGCGGCGCGGAAGAAGTTGAACGTGCGGACGTACGTGACACTTTGACCCAGAGGCACAGAGCGCGTGGAACGCGGCCGCATCGCATCAAGGCGCGCCAGAGCGGCATTCGTCGAGACGCGACGCCTGACCGACATCGGTTGGTTTCCGCGCCTTCCCTAACCACCCCCCCCCCACCGCTGTCCCCCGCCACCCACCCCCACTCCCTCCTGCTGCGCGTGCAGCTGTCGCTGGAGCAGACCCCGGCGCTGGCCCGCAGGCGGCTGCAGCGGACGCACTCGGACGAGAGCCTGTGCCGGCGTGACGGCTGCGTGGGTGGCGCGCGCGACTCGCTCCTCGAGCAAGCGGCGCCCGCGGGCGACTACCTCCTGCCGCCGGGGTTCCCCGCCGGCCACGCGCCGCCGCCCTCCCACGCCGTGCTGCCCGCTTGCCGCATGTCGGGCCTCTCCGGTACGGATGCCCCCCCCCCCCCCCCCCCACGGCTCGTGCCCGTTACGCCGCGTGCCACGCTCCGTGCGTCGATGCCGCTTGCCACGCAACGTGAACCGCGCGCCGGGCGACTTGTGTCTTGTGCCGTGCAATACCTCGCCTTGTGCCGCTGCGAACTCGGGGACCCGAGTTCGATTCGCACTCGCGGCCATTGCCAGCGACAGCGATTATCTGAAATGGTCCTGGGCCTCCCCTAGGTAGATTCAGCCTAAAATTTGTACCTGATGCGGTGTGTAAACATCGCCACTGGGGAGACAAAGGTGGACCGGGCGTGGTGCTGGCCACCCACCCCCTCGTGTGCCGTCCCGGCCTTCATAGGTGCCTCGCTAACAGCACTTGCCCCAGCATTCTGTTAAGGCTACACGGGGGAACTTTGTCCTGTGTACCATGCTGTGCACCACGCGCCACATGCCATCGTGCGCCGTGCCACACGCCGCGTGACCACGTTGTCGACCTGCGCCGCTCGCCGTCAATACGCGTCGCATCTCGCGTCCCGCTTGCACCTCGCCCCGTCGCCGACGGTAATCCCCGCGTGCCCCCCCCCCTGCTTGCGTGCCGCCGCAGTGGACTCGTCGGGCTCGGAGGAGTCGCTGCCGCGTCTGGCCGTGCGCGACGTGGAGGAGCTGCTGCCGCTGCCCGACGCGGCCGCGGGCCTCGAGTGGGCGACGCTGGTGGACGCTGCGCGCGCCTTCGAAGGTGAGCGCCGCCCGTGGCGGGCTCGCTCTCGCCGCCCGCACGCGGCCACGGCTTCGTGGGGGGGGAGGGTGGGACACGTTCGAGACGTCCGGTGTGGCGGCGGCGTCCAGACGCCCCGGCCAACTGTGTGCATCTCATATACTTCATACGTGCGATCGAATGCAGCAAAAAGCAATAGTTTACAGTGTATTTCGTCCGTATGATAAAAATAATAGTTCACAGCCATTGATCCGTCCACCTCTGGAAGAAGGCCTCCCCACTCCATCCCGGTTGTTTAACCATACTTCACCTCGTCGGTCAGTGTGGGTTTGTGAAGAGGCGAGAGGCCCAGGAGCGATTCGGATATCGCTTGCCGCCAGATTCGTATCGCAAAGCGATCACCACTGCGCCACAGCTTCCGCTCGCCCACGCTTACCGTGTTTATAAATATTCAGAATAGCCCCTGTCATAGGAATGTCGAATATATACTATTGGCTCGGGGCCGCCTATGCGGACGGATGACATTCATTGCCGACAGCATTCCAACGCTCTTTCGAGCCTCAAGAGACGCTAAAAATATCTGCAGTCCCCGTGTGCACGCGCACATTTAATGTATTTCACATGCGCACACTCGCAGGGTATATTTTGTTACTTCATTAGCAGTTTCACCATTTGGCACTGTACACGCATGCTGCAGAGCACGGCACCGCGTATATCGAACGCGTAAGAAGTTTCGCATGTTGCATCCATGTCAAGGTTCGTTAGTGAACCGCAGTGGCGAAGTAATTTTGGACAGCCCTCAAAAATTCAAAGCACACCTGAAATTAAAATAAACTGCTACGGGACCTATTTCGCCGGAGACGTGTTGCGTGCTCTGAAAAAATCCCCGGCCCCGTTCGATTCGTTTTTTCATTTGAACGGCGAGTCGCAGCGGTGCGCGGCGAAGTTTCTAAGTATCGGGAGATGAAACCGATTGGCTGACATTTCTGGAGCGCGAGCGAGCAAGTTCCCGCACGGGACCCGTTGGCGCCCGGTGCAGGCGGCGGTGGCGGTGCCAGCTCATTAGAGTTGCACTCGCTCCACCGCCGCCAATGGGGCCGTCAAAAACGAGAAACGTCTCATTTGTGATTTTTTTTTTCTTCGTAGAACTCTCTTACACTCTCTTCGTGGAAGGTAATTGCTGCTGGTGTGGTGTTTTTTTTTGTCCGTGCTGCTAATTGGTCGCGAGCTGACCCTTGGCATGGCTCTCCGAGCGAGTGGATAAAATGCATGACCCATGGGTGACGGCCGCACGCTCGTCCGTTCTCATTACCGCCGTGCCGTGCCGTGCCGTGCCGCTAAGCGAGGTGTCCTCGTTAAGCGCCGCGTAATTACTCGCCCAGCTAGCGTAGCCCGGAACCCGGGGTTCATCGTGAAGGCGCGTGGGTTTGGTGTGGGGGGGGGTGTGTGTGTGTGGGGTGCGCGGTGTGGGTGCGGAGCGCGTCGGATGCACGCCGAGCGGAACGGAGTGTTGCAGGTGTGTGACCCCTGCAGTTCTGCGGATTGGGAATGAAACAAAAGAGCAGCATGAAGTGTCACAGGAGGGGGGGAATATCGATTACGCATCTGCACGAGGCAAGGACGCCTTGAAGGACGATTGATCCGGTGCGTGCCTGTGCGCGCAAGTCACCGTGCGAGTCATCAACCCCCGCCGCCCCCACTAAAGAGTGTGCACCTTCAAGGCTGCCCGAGACGGCCCTCGGCGAGCAAGCAGTCCTCCGGTAAACCTGCGCTGGCACAGAGCGGCATTGCCCAGCCAATGTTCCGGGGTAAAGGAACCGAGGGCAGGTCGCTCCTTATGTTGGGAAAAACACATTTATTGAGGTGACCATGTGACCACAAAGTGTGGAGGTGATGGTCTGGCAGAGGTCGCAAACGGGTTTTGATTCCTTACCCGTACCCGTACCCGGCCGCACCAGGGGCGCAAATGGGTACCCGTACTCGTACCCGGCCGGGTACGGGTATCGGGTAGGGTACGGGTATCGGGTACCCGATTGCGACCTCTGTGGTCTGGGCAGTCCTGGCCAATGCACACGACCCGAGTGCCACTCGTGCAGGGACACATTCTTAACCCCTCTGTCGTGCGGTGTAGACATAGGGCAGCACTTCCCAAACGCCAATCCTCGCGAGCCATCACGGGACACCTTCCGTTTTAACTAATGTAACGCCATTCATATTAAAATAAAGTCGCTCGCTCTTACACGTTGACTGATGGCCGCTAAAGAGGCCCAATGTGATCGCGCGAGTGGCGGTGAATTTGATTCGCCGTTGTTTACGTCACGTGGGACGTGTTTTTAGCAATCGTCAGGCACGTGGAGTGTACTACAACTTAATCGGTATTTTAAAAGTAGGTAAATTGGTAGATGTGGAAAAAGGCTTTCCACTTCGAGTTGCGAAGATTGGGGTTTGGGAAGCCGCCCCCCCTGGCGTAGGTAATTCCGATCGTGCTCGTGCTGACCTGCCGTTGCCGTCGCGGTTGCCGTGGCTGCCACCGTGTCGCGGCCTCTGCCTTTTTTTTTTTTTACCCCCTCCCGACTACGGCGCCCGCGCGCTGCGTGTGTCCCCCGTAGGCATAGACGTGATGAGCGTCTCCTCCAGCGGTGGCAGCGCGAGCAGTGAGATAGGTGACCCGTCGACCCCCAATTCCCTCGCACAATGACAGATGCCGATCTCATCTGAAGTGCTTTTCCGTTTGAAATACTTTGAGCTATTTTTTTTCTCTCTCTCTGGCTCTCCGGAGCCTTCTGTGGCTGACGTGTCACGTACTTGCGTTGCCCGTAGCCTGCTGTGCTGTGCTGTTGGTAGTTCGTTTTTCCTCCCTCCCCCTCTTTCTGTGTTTTGAATCGCCCTTGAAATTCTGTGAACTCTCAAACTCTCAGGAGGGTGGTGGTGGGGGGTGGGGGACCTTGTGTGCGGCGGACGTTTGTATCTTGTGTTTCTCCGATTGCGTGACTCACTCTTCTCGGCCTGGGCTGTGGAACGTGAGACGACTTCGCGCGCAACCGCAATAACATTTGTTTCGCGTTCCCTTGCCTACGGTTTTATTACGGTCTCGCGTCTTGCCCGTCGTCTGTGTATTAAAAAAAGAAAATCGGGTTTCGCGACTCGCAATACCTTCGAATCGTCAGTTTTTTACGACTTGCATTTTAGATGAATGTGAATGTCACGGACCCAATTTAAGACCAATCTAACGACAACACCTACGGCAACGGGCCATCGGCTCGCTCGCCGATAACGAACTCCGGTCATCAACCCCATGGCCCTCTCACATTCTCCGCTCGCCTAAACAACCCGTGTGTTTGCTGTGCACTGGAAGAAGAAAAAAAAGTGCAAATGTAAATAAGGATTTGGGCAATTAAATGCGTTTGTCAGTGCTTGTCACAGGAAAGCTTATTATTGCAGCAGCTGTTTATTAAATGTACATCTTTAAGACATTCTGCCAGTCAGTAACTCGCTGTTTGATTAATTGCCCAAGTCTTATTTTCATTTTCACCGCGATTTTCTCTCTCTCTCTCTCTGGTTAATACATTAAAATTGCATGCTGCCTAAGAACTGTCATGTTCGATGAATGCAGGGAGTGGGGGGTTTAGGCGCACGAGGAAGGGGCGGTAGCGGGGGGGGGGGCTGATGCTAAGCAGGGCTACAATGCTTCCCATTGTGCGCGTCTTCTCCGCGGCACGGAGAGGCGCGGCATTCCTCCCCCCTGCACGGCCGGTCAATACCCGCGCGCCGTGTGAACCGGTGGCAGTGATGCCACGGGGGGGGGGGGGGGTTAATTTTGCTTTGAGAGGTTTCGTTGAAAGGTCAAGAGTTGCGCAAGCGACCGAGCGCGGATGATCGCATCGGCCACGCTTTAAGCCGACATTCCGCTCCTCCGGAAAAATCCTGTTTAGCCGGTCAGCTGGGTGGAATTGGATTCCCCATTCCCACCTAGCACCTGGGTCGTCTTCCGTCCCCACTAGCCGGGGTGCACCACACGAGTGCTTAGGTGAACGGTGTGTGGCTTCTTCTCGGTGTCGTCGATTGCCCACGTTTGACCCCCCCACCCGCCCGTTCTCCTTGCCCGCTCTGCAGACCAGCGGGTGACGAGCGTGCTGGGGGGGATGCTCGATGTGGACGACATGGGCTGCATTGCCGAGCTGGCGGAGGGCGACCAGGCAGACGTCCACCTTCCCTCGGCGTCGCTCGTGGGGTGAGCAGCCCCGTGGCTCGGTCCCGTAAATACGTCCGTCCGTCCAGTCCACCCGTCCGTCCATTTGTCTGTCCGTCTGTCCCAACGGCTTGTCCGTGCGTCCGTTCATCCGTTCATTTAAAGCACTGGAAATTCAGAGTTGTGTCGCTCAGTCACGGGGCTGCTAAGTCACCGATTTGTCGAGCGTCACGTGACCCAGGACCTTCCGTTCAAATCTCAGCCACGCTTAAAACGCGTCCGGTGCGGCGCGTAGCTGTTCATGCATCGTCTTCGGTGAAGTAATTTATGTGCGATTATCTTCATCGCATTTCTACCATTACCCAAATAATTGCAATCGCATGTGTCGACACCCTGCTTTGCATTTTAGTGTTTGCACATCACTGTCGTCAACTTCTATTCCTAAGGCTATCCTCACTTTGCACTATCGCTGGCGAACATTTACACGTTGTCTCGTCCGCTAACACCATTTTAGGTGCTGCATTACATTAGCGCTCGCGTGTGAGTGTGTGCGTGCGTGTGCACGCGTGTGGACAATGCACGCACAGGGAAGCCGTTTACTTGTGGTGGTATTTTGGTCTCGATGCATATTTTAATTCAAATTAACGAACAGAGGTCACGACCTGGGGTCTGGTGACCTTAAATTCCCCTGCCTGGCTGCTCTGTAAAGGGTCGAGGTCGAGGCGGCTTTTACTGTGGACGTGACGAGGACCCCACCTGCAGGATCTCTGCTACAGCAGAGGCCTTCACTGCTGCCTCGGCAATGCCTTTTCTGCTGGGCAGTATTGCAAACGAGACCTATTTTACAACGCAAAAACATCTCTCTGCTAAACTTGCAAGGAATTGCGTTTTAAACCGGCCCGCTTATGACGGATGAGTTCTATGGTTAGGGGGCTAAAGACTGGGTGGCTCTCGAATAGGATTCGATTAAATGTGCTTTTAGAATGAGCCGTTGAACTCGCAGACACAGGGAATGGGAAGTTTGTCGTTTGAATTAACTTGTCGGCGCAGTGGCGTAACTCAGATGAATAGAGGCTCTCGGTCATTTTAAAGGGGACGTTTCCCATTTTCAACACAAACTTTTTCCACAGAGTGCGACTCTAAAAGAGCCATCCTTCAAACGGAAATGAAAGCGATGAGAATCCCACGAGAGACGCACTTCCGTGGAGGCTATTGAGGCACGCGATCAGTTCCCCTTCAAACTGTTCCACTTGTGTTTTAGTCAACCATCTCCGCACGGTGCTAAACCATCTGCCAGCCCTCCCCCCCCCCCTCCTCGCTGAAGGCCACACCGCACAGGAGCTGTCAGCCCCTCCGGTTTGTTTTACGATCTGTGGGGACGAGGGGTGGAAGCTTCGGTCGGGGCAGTGGAGGCAGGAAGTACTTAAATCCTACGGACCTGTGGAACTTCTACTCACGAGGGGGTGGTGTCTGTTGGCTAACTACCGATAAACCGGTGGGCGGTGCTTATTCATGACTCTTCGCGTCCAGCTTCTCCAGTGTGGTCTGTGAGATGAGCGCCGTGGTGGGGGTGGAACAAAAATGAACTCGACGCAAAGACAAAAATGTAACGCGGCAACGTGAGAAACATTGGTGGTGGCCATAATCGGGGTGGGGGGGGGGGGAATAAACATTCGCCGATGTTACGATTCAGGCTCTGTAGTGCGCCCCTGATGTTTGGCAGACGCCTAGAGTTTTAAGTTTCATTTGAAGGACGTGACGCCGAGGGGTTTTTGGCATTTTAACCCTTTTTCAGAGTGGCCCAGAATCTCACAAAAAATAGTCGTCCCAGGTTGAAAGTACATTCGGACTGAAATGGTCTGTTTATTGTACACATCTTCAGACGAGGGAGCTAACGGGAAGAAAGCAATATATTAAAATAAGCATTGCTAGGCCGTGTATCACATTAGATTCCACAGCACTTTGATTTGAAATGTTTTTTCGGCTCCAGTTCTGCTCGGCACGCTCTCCTTTTAAAATCCGAAACCGCGGCATTGCCTTCGGACGTAACGCCACTCGACAAAATTGCGTAAATGTGTTCTCGGGTTTAATGCAACATTTTATTCTCTTTCCTGCGTCATTACACACGGTCATTATTCAAAACCAGGCGTAGCAAGGTCGCGTAGAACTACCTGAAATAAAATTAGCTCCGATTACTGCCACAGCGTAATTACATTTCGCAGATTCATGCAGTTTTAATCGCATTCGCAGGCCGTGTGCGGTGCTGTCAGATGCACAAACACGTGGTAATTGTGCGCGCGTTATGCCCAGGGCATTGTACAAGGCCACGGCCTAGGGCCAAGCAGTGCGTGGTGATTAATGGGATCGTCGCAAACGCATCGTTATTTTTATTTTTTTCAGGGATGACTCTCCTAAATCTCTCACCGTTAAAGTCGGCCAGCTGGAGAGCATCTTAAAGCAGCTTCAGGAAGACCTCCAGAAGGTTTGTCAGAGAATGTTGGCACCTGTTTGCGCGACACTGACGCGACGCTAGAATGGGGTTAAATTTGTCGAGTCCCACGACACTGTGCAAGAACGGGCGTCCAATACCAAGTGAGCGATGGGGACAGGCAGATAGGACACTTTGATTTTGAACCCGTTGAGAGCCTACTGAGACAACAAGCCTCACTTTTAAGGGAGACCTGGGTTACTCAAGCAACAGCGTGGATTAAAAGCAAATTGTGCAAGGGGAAAAAAAACTATCGAATGTTAAATATCGTAAACAAAACACTTGTGATTCAAGCAAAACATCAGGCACTGAAACATTTGTAACACTGCAGTGGAGGGGAAGAGGATAGTCCAACGCCAGTAACGATTACCTGAACCGGTCCTGAGCCTCCCCTAGGTCGACTCAACCTCAAACGAGTAAAGAAAGTCGGCCAGGTGTGGTGCTGGCCTTTATAGAGGTGCTCACCAACAGCACTTGCCCCTAAAGTGTGTTCAGGCTAGACGGGGAGGGTCTTTGTTGAATACCGAACACATGAGAGAGAGAGAGAGAGAGGTTGTGTTATGAGAAGAACTTATTAAAAGTAAACACAGTCGCGCTGATTTATTTTTCCACACAGTGACTTATAACCCCCACGGTTGAATGTGATACACAAATGTGGGGCAATGAAAGAAAAAAGTTTCTGCATAGTCCAGCCGCGTCTTTCTCGGCGTCTCGGTCTGGATGAATGTTTCATTCCTGTAGACGCGCGTAAATCCTCTCGTCGCCTTGCTCGGTCACCTCCCCGCCCGTCGGTTCTCGTGAGCTGTGAGCGGTTCGGTGGGGGGCTGCCCCCCCCAACGCGCGACGCTCTCCGTGTTTTCACCCGACACGTGCGCCGCCGGCCGTCGCCGGCGTGTTCCGTAGGAGAAGACGGACAAGGCTGCGCTGCAGGCCGAGCTGGAGGACCTGAGGGAGGACAACGTGCGCCTGCAGCAGGAGTCGCAGACGGCGGCCACGCAGCTGCGCAAGTTCACCGAGTGGTTCTTCAACGCCATCGACAAGAAATGAAGACGCCGCACCTTCGAGACTGAGCGCCACGGGGACCCAGGCGGCTTGCGTTTTCGTCGCGTACGTTTCCGCACTCTGTAGGCCGCGACGGAGCCTTGTTCCGTTGGGCGCGAGGATGAATTCCTGTCATGACTGGACGTCACCACCTGTCTCTACTGTAGTAGCTACCGCTGCCGATGTTGCTGCTGCTGCTGCTGTCGCTGGGACGTGAGGCCGCTTGGAAATGGAGGAGTTTCACGAATAGTCCGAGGCTCCACGACGCCGCTTTTTTTCCCGAACTTACGGCACAGATCTGATGGGGGCTCGTGACTTTCGGCAGCACCCACCCCTGCGATGCGTCCATGAGACTGCCAACTCGTATTCGCCGTTTCGTGAAGGAGACCGTCTTGGCAAATGCGTGGACACAACAGGCCCGTATTAGCCCCAGCTTGCGGAGGTGTACAGTGTTTGGCATTTGGTCTCTTGCGTCGATCTGAATTCACTATCAGGGTATCGTGCTTAGAGTTAGCTGTGTTACGTACATGAAGTGGTTTTTCCAGGGGCCTGAATGTGGCTCGGGCAATAGTGTGTGATGCGAAAACGATTTGAAGTAATTTGCTCAATTCCTGAGGAGATTTAACTGTACAGTATTTTAAATTGGCGACACGCAAAGTGTTGCCAACGTGTGATTTCCGCTGTCTCATTTGATGTCCATATCTGCTCTATTTTAAGCCCGTAATCTAGACTCAGGCATGTGTGCATGAAGAGGCTGTAAGGAGCCTTCATGCACCCGCGTTGAATCGTCCCATTCGCACGTTTTTGTGTTAAATGCACTCGTATTTATTTTCGAGCGCGGTGCGCCGCTGTGGATGAGAATATCGAGATTATGCCTTAATCGTAGGCACAGTGGGTGTGTTATTGAAGTCGAGTCCTTCGGAGGCCTGAAGCACACAATTCCGACGCTTGCCTAACAGACAAACAAATTGTGCCTCTGAATTCCCATGTTCTCTGGTGGAAACCCCCCCCCCCCCCCAGTTAAAAAAGATATATATTAATAACGACAAAAAATAAATAAGTGGTGAGTTCAAATGGCCATAGCCTCGGGAAGGCTGATGGCCCAACAAGGACTTTATTCTTGCCTTTGTTTCCGTAGCCTGCGGGCCAGCGAGGACTTGAATGGTGATGGCGTCGTGCCAGTGAAACTGCTGCATTAGATAGCGTGGCTTGGCGCTGTGGGCCGAGCGTGTGCCGGAGCGTGTGCCGGAGCACGGCGTCCGGCAAGCAGTCCCCGTCCCCCCCCCCCCCCCCCCCCCGGTGGAATTCGTGCGAGTCTTTGGGTGGGGTGCGGAGATCTGGGCGCTCTGGGCGCACGGTGGAGACGGGTGGGTTTGATTGATCGAGAGTGGGACAATCGATTTATTTTTTTATTTTTACCTTTTTGGCATTACAATCAGAACTATGATTAACTAGAACCAAAAGAGCAACACGTGCTGATTGGTGTGTTCCTGTAATGGCAAGTCCCCGGATGGCTTTCTTTCTGGAGAAGTGCTGGTTTGTGCTGTGCTTGTTCTCAAACGGAGATTTCCTTTGTAGTGTTTTATATATATACTGTATACATATACCGTTGAAGTTAAACATCGTGGGGATCGGTTAACCAGTGTTCAATTTTATCGTACGGTTCCTTTTAAACCAAATGGCATGTATCGTTTAACTCCAGAATGCAGAATAATAATAATAAAAAACCACCAACTTCAATAACCTCCCATAATAACAACAACAATCTCTGACAGAATGCTTTTTAACGTCAGCTTGAAACAGAGTTGCCTTGAGCTGGGCCCGCCCGTTGCGGCGACGCCGCACTGCCATCGGGGAAGGCGCTCCGCGTGGCTCTGACCCTCGACCGGATTGTGGCCTCTGCGACCGCGGACGCAGCGACCGCGGGCTCAGTGATCTCACGGTCGCTACGACCGTGAGATCACTGGCGCAGTGATCGCGTGCTCGCGGGCGCAGTGATCACAGGCCCAGTGATCGCACGGTCGCTACGACCACCCGATCACTGGGCCCGCGGTCGCTGCGACCTTGGGCCCAGTGATCGTGTGCTCGCGGGCGCAGCGACGTCACGGGCCCAGTGATCGCCCGAGTGCGGGCCCAGTGACCGCGCGAGTTGCCCGCCGCTCGACTCTGCCGGCGCTCGCTGAGTGTTTGGCGCCGCACTGCGCGGCCGCTGCGGACCCACCCGAGGCGACAACTTGGCTCTTTAATTTAAAAGCGTATTGCGAAACAATTGTTTTTAAACTAAAAAAAAGGTAATTTTATTCTTTATTACATACTATATAGATACAGAATGTTTTTTTGTTGTTGTTTGTTGTAATGAAGAAATCTGTTCAACTTGAATTACCAGCTCCCGGTTGTAACATCAAACCACAGCGTGCCAGGGGCACGCGTGAAGCTCATCCACCATTCTCCTTAATTATTGTCTTATATTCGTGCAATAGCAGCCCATGGGCACGCGCCCGCACATGGGGAGACTAATTAAAGCAGCAGTAGAGTCGGAATCGGGCTGACTTGTTTGTGCATTTAGTGACGTGTGGGTGGCCCTTGTTTGGCCTTGTGCAAGACGTGTGGTGGTCGTTCATATGCACTATTCAGCAGGTTCCTATGCTGTATATTTTGTACTTGGTGTTAGGTTGGGTTGGGTTTTTTTTCTTTTCACACATGGCGTCTGCGCGTAAGAGAAGTGTTTTTTTGTTTTAGTGATGTCCGTCTGCAACATTCTGTTTCGTCCGAGGAGCCGAGCGTACGATGACATTAGTGCGACGAGTCTCGCGTCATCCCTGGCGCTCCGGGGGCCGGGTCCCAGCCCCTGGTGGTGGGGGGGTCGCACGTCTCTGACCTCGTCACTGTCAACTCGTTTGCAAGTTGTGTCATTTCATTTTTAATTTGCCTACGAACATTGGTGATTTTTCGTTTTGTTTCCGTTAATTACTGTATTCGAACGTAGTATAAAACGTGTAATGATTTCACAGTTTTAACATTGCCAGAAGATGGTCCAATTTTTGGATTTGCATAATAATAAACATTGTTATACAGTAAAGTGTGTTTGCGGTTGTCGGTGGTGATCGATGATTGGGATGATCATGATGAAGGCGAGTGATGTGATGGGCTTTTCCGTGTGGTCTGGTCGCATCTCCGCACCCTTAGCCATCCCGCCTCGGGCACAAGAGCTCTGGGACTTGAGGATCCACCACACACAGCTTCCACTCCACCACCACACAGCTTCCACTCCACCACCACACAGCTTCCACTCGACCACTCAGCTTCCACCACTCAGCTTCCACTCGATCATACAGTCGTTGTTGAAGAATTGCTCTGCACGCGGTTGCTGCTCGCACTCGCGGGATCGATTTATTTGTCCTCTTAACCGCGTCGTTTCGAGCGAATGACTGAATGAAGCGAGGCACTTGAAATAGACTAAGTTTTTTTATTTTACCACACGAAGCGGGCTCATCGTGCGGAAATGTAAAGCAGCCAAATACTCTGAACGCAAGTTTTAAATGTGGAGGGAAGACCCCGGAGGACCCCGGAGATGCATCTGCACGACCGCGGAAAGAGAGACACGGAAACTCCAAAAATACAGCAGGCGTCGGGGTCAGGGTCAGGGTCGGGGATCGAACCCACGACCTCCTGCATACTGGGCAATGGAGATAACATCTCACCACTACGGCGCCCCTTGACGGCTTAGCTGCGTGTCGAGCTCTGGTTCCCGTGCCGTGGTCTGCGGACCGCCGGAGAGGAAGTGGAACCGCGGAGCCGTTGCACATCTGTTAAAACGTTTGAATTATAAAGAAGTAATATTTTTTTTAAACTTTTTTTTTAAACACGCTTTTATGAGAAGACTCCAGGAAGTGTCCCCGAAGCTTGCCATAACGTAAGGGACCCTGGCCAATTGCAGCCAACGTCAGTTGAACGTGGACAATTAGACCCAAGCTGAAACATATCATTAAAAAGAATGTTTCAAATTTGTATTTTTATGATAGAATATAGTATTGTCATCAGTATGACATAAGTATGCCGAGTTTGCAGTCGGTACCACATTGGGAAGTGGTTTAAAATGGAGTTAGAATATTTGAGGATACGACAACAACAACAGACAGTGAGTTAAAAGAAAGCGTGTAATAAAAAAACGACTGAATCCTCTCTGCCATAAGTACAGGTTTAAAGACGTGCAAACGCCAAATAAATACGTATTACAAAGGCATGAAATCTGCATGAACCACGCGTGCATGATGAACTCACGGGTTAATACAGAGCTGCGGGGGACAGCGTTGTGGGCAGCGAACAGAGAAGGCGCTGGACTTTGCGTACTTCTATGCTCCCCGCCTGCAACCCGCACTGACCAGCGAGCTGAAGAATTTTTAAATGACCCCCCACGATCTCCATAGAGTGGGGAGGAGAGGCCCTCGTTCGTCCAGCAGTTGATTGGCAAAGCGACCTGAGACCGCTGGCTGGTCCTGGGACGCGCGTGGGGCCATGGCATAGACGAGCAGTCGGAGCGCGCGTGTCCGCGTGGTAGCAGAGAGAGAGAGAGAGGTTCGGGTTAGCCATGGCGACCCTGGTTAATACTGCCGGGTGTATTAAACCCACAATTGTACGTCTGATCCCGACGGGTTTATTCGAAGGAAGAAAAAAATGACGCGTGGTAGTCCACGTGGTGTCGGCGTCACGGTCCCAATTTAGAAGCAAAACATTCCCGAAAAAGAAGCCTCCGTAAGTGGGGGGGGGGAAGGGGGGGAACCACAGAGCAGCATCGTTCACCCCCCCCCCCACATCACCACCCCACACACTTCGCCGTGGCCTGAACGTGCACATAGCCTGGCACAGGCGCCGTGGTGACGCCACCGCCAATTAGTGGCGAACGACGGTTCTTGATGATGTTGTTTCGGAAGACGAACCAATTAACCGGCTCCACCACACCTCCATCACACCACCACACCTCCACCACATCTCCAATTCACCTCCACCACACCTCCACCATACCTCCACCACACCACCATACCTCCAATCCACCTCCACCACACCTCCAATCCACCTCCACCACATCACCATACCTCCAATCCACCTCCACCACACCACCATACCTCCAATCCACCTCCACCACACCTCCAATCCACCTCCACCACACCACCATACCTCCAATCCACCTCCACCACACCTCCAATCCACCTCCACCACACCTCCACCGTACCTCCACCACACCACCACATCTCCACCACACCTCCGCCACCCCTCTCGGGAAGGGCGCTTGGGGCGAGCTCCCCGCCCTTGCTAACTTACCACATTGCACGGCGCTCTCTGTGCGAGCCATCATCAGCAGCTTCTACGGGAGCACCCCGCCGAGTTCTCGCGCTGCCTCCGCGTGGCCTGGAGGCGAGGGCGTCTCGGGGCAGCAGATGTCCTCGTCTCGGTGTGGTCCCGAACGCTCCTCCCGCCGCTCAGAGTCATTTCGTTAATGCCCCATTAATCATTTTCTCTGCGCGTCAGAAAAGGAAGTCCGCATCGATTTCGGTGACGCAAGCGAAGGAGGACGCATTTCCCCGCCTGTCACCAGTTCCCAATTAACCGCAACAAACAGCGCGCCGGGTGGCTTCCTCCCTGACCGCGACGCGCCAGCACTTCTGTCACCGACGATGCCTCTTTGACGCAGGCAATGAACGCCGTCATCCTGACCCTGACTAGGCTCGGCCTCGTGGCAAACGTCGGGGCTTTTAGTCATGGGGGGGGAGGGGGTGGTGCTTGGTGGAGCTCCCGAGTCAGTAACGAAACGAGTCGGGTCAGGCCGTCCTCGTGTGCAGCTGTGAACGTCGCCTCGCTGCGTCGCCTCCAGAACCTCGGGTTGAACACATTTGGCTTTGGCATCCGCAAGCGCGCACGCTCGGCGCATTCTGGCTTCACTTTCACCCGCCCTCCCGCCGTGTTTTCACTTCTCCGCGTGTCTCTCGACCATGTGGCTGACACAACCGTCGCCCCTCTGTGCTGCACGTGGATGCCCGCATCTTGTCGGCAACTCGGACCAGTCGTCCCCCCCCCCACCCCCCCGGTGCATTTTGCGGGATGATTTTCTTGGAGGGAAGGGGGCGCCCCTTTCCCCCCGCGGAGTGGTGCTGCGTGGAATAACGCGCGCTACGACGGTTTGGCAGAAGTACAATGTTGGAGGACTTGCAGGGAGTCATTATGAGTTATTCCACCCAAATGTGCGGTAAAACTCATGTTCCACTAATTAAAATGGATTTCATTTCCCTCTCAAGATGACTGCAGGCATCGGTTTCACGAAGAATGGGTGCGGGTGGAGACTGCTGCGAGATGTGAATGTGCCTCTGTTCTTAGTCGGAAAGAGAGGCATGCTTCAGATCCTCTCTACAGCCCCCTTGGTCAACACACTGCTGGATGAAGATCTCCCCCACGTCGTGTCAGTCCATGGGGGTTTTTTATGACCATACTTCACTCCGTTTGGTCACGGCAGGTTGAAGGGTGGGGACTCAGGAGTGGGTCAGATGTCACTCAGCACTGATGTTCGCTGTGGCCGAGAAGCGAACCTACGATCTGGTTCATAGCGCAGTGCCTTAACCTCTGCGTCCACTCCTCAGTTATCCCCCCCCCCTTGTTTAAAGACGAGCCTGTGCTCTGTTAGCCTCTAACGCCCTCTCACCCTTCCACTTGGCTTATGTCTCTAATAATGACTTCATAAATAAACAATACACATAGTATGCATTGGGATTTCTCAAAATCCCAGGAGCCCACAAACAAGCAGACAGCATTTAATTACTTGGAGGATGTTGGTGTTTTCCAATTTATTTTGTTAATTCGTGCAGGTGAGAACTCAAACGATACCAGGATAAACTCAAGTGCAATACGGTAGTGACGATCTGGGTCACTAAGCATGCCAAAAGCAAACCGCGTTAAAAAAAATTTGAGCAAAAACAACTACCGCATCTATCACTTGAGGAATTGAAAAGTAATGGCAAAACATAATTCCCCGCAGCGCAAATCGTCTCAGGCAGAGATTACCCCCGGGTTTGAAACGCAGCACACATTTTGACTCGTGCGGTCCACAGGAGCGTACAATGCCGAGACTTCGACGCAAAGTTTTCACCGGCGCAACAGCTGGACGGAGGAAAACAGAAAAAAAAACGAAAACACATTTCAAAACATTTATTTTGGCACGACATTAAAAACGCATTCGACTGGCCAGAGAGCGGCCTTCACCTGGCCAGACGGCACCAGGAGGCTCATTAGCTCAAGGCTGACGACGGGGCGACCTTGCCTTGAGCGAGAGCCTCATTAGGCCGCGGGCACCGAGCCTTGGACCTTTCCGTTTTGAAACGGCCCTCGGGCTGTTATGGGGCCGCAGGGACGAGCAGGCGTGGGGTACCCCCGTCGTGGTGCCGTACCCCGTGTTTGTGTTCGCTGCCGCAGTAAGCTTGTGACAGCCCCGTGTTGATTATAATGTCACCAAGGGAGGCCGTGGGGCCACATCTTGACAATAGCCGCGGCAAGTGCCATTGCGGTGGGGGGGGGGGGTGCATCAAACAACGCGGCCGCGTTCTTTCATCGAAGGTGTTTTTATTTCGTAAATGTTTATTAAAACTGTGACTTCAAGAGTAATGAAGTAAAGGATGGCGTTAACCGCCACGGTCTCCAATGCCACCTGGGTGCCACAAAGTCCGTAGAGCCCGGGGTTAGATTTGTTTAATATTTCATGTGCCGGTCGAACATACACCACCTGCATGCATATTTAAGTTTGTTTTTATTGTGTTGTTGCTGTGCTCACGCACCACGGGTTTCCAGCGTAAAAATCCAACTAAACTTTAAAGCTGTCGCGGAAAAATAAAATGTGAGTAGAACCATTTATTTGACATGACCAATAGCAATTAAACGTGTGACTGCTGCAAGGCCGTTATTATAATATATATTGGGGGACCTCCCCCAATATTCAAATATGCTCAAAATGTCCCCCCCAATATATTGCTGTAAAATAGATTTCTGTTTATATGATTGTGGTTATGGTTGTACTTTATTAATCCCTAATCTCTGCCATTACATACAATGAAACAAGACAAGGTAAAAATAAAAAAAACAGAGCAATGTAATACAATACACTATTATACATTATTGTAAAATAAAAAGTCCATCCCATGTGTTAGCGAATTTTTAAAAATATTTTAGGCAGGGAATGGCAGGGAATTAGTTTTCAAATGTAGATTTTTTTTTCGGGGAGGGGGGCCCACACCCCCTGGAAAATGTGGTCCCCCCCAATGTTGACTCCATGGCTACGGCCTAGGACTGCTGATATTTAAAAATGAGAAACCCGTGACATAATTAACTTCTGTTGGCCTTATAGCGAAGTAACTACCATGAATCGTGTGCCTCGGTACTAATCTTAGCTCTGGGCACATGGCTCCAATCTATTATTGTGCCTCACACAGCCGTGGTGGTGAAGGTAGAGGTGGTGGTGGTGGTGGTGAAAATGTCAGTTAAGTAGTTGGTGGTGATTCAGGTGGTGGCTGAGGAGGTAGGTGGTGCTGGTGGTTTAGATGGAGATGCACCTCCACGGCTCAACACCGGTGACGATTATTTGAACCGGTCCTGGGCCTCCCCTAGGTCGACTCAGCCTCAAATGAGTACCTGCTGCGGTGTGTAAACATCGCCACTGGGGAGACAAAGGCGGCCGGGCGTGGTGTTGGCCACCCACCCCCTCGTGTGCCGTGCCGGCCTTTATAGGTACTCACTAACAGTACTTGCCCCTAAAGTCTGTTAAGGCTATACGGGGGATCTTTGTCTTTGTGTTTTAGAAGGAGATGCAGGCGGTAGAGATCACGGTGGTGGTGGTGATGGTTTAGGATGTGGAGCCCGAGACCTAGACAGATGGTGGCGGAAAATGTGATGCAGGGTGGTTGTGGTTGTGATGATTTAGGTGGTGGTGGTGGTGGATGTATTCGGAACACTATCAGGCAGGAAAAGAGCTGCGTGGACCGACTTGTGAGTGAAACGAGCCCTCTGGCACTATCACAGATGCACAACGCGGAGCCTGTGATGCAAATGTCTGTGGGAATTCAAGTTCTTTAGAAGCAATAGCACCTTAATATTTAGTGAGAATGTCCATACAAAACACTTAACAGGTGGGGAAAGCAGCACATTCAAATAAGTATAAAGAGATGACGAAGAAGCCTGCATGCTAATGATTCCTGAAAGACTGCCGCAACATTTCCTCTAAAAAAAATAAGCACCTGAAGGAAACCAAAATGCCCCAAAAGCCGCCTTTAGATCCAGGAGACATAAAGCCTCCGATCTAGTGCCAACGCCACAACACAAACCCGTGCAATGTTGTGAATTCCAAACTTCCCAAACCCCCAAATCCTCACAGCAAAGGGCTGGCACGTGGCGCTCATCCTCTATGGGTCAGTCCTGGATCCGCTGTGGGAATTCCACCTTCCAGGAGTTTGTTTAATCGCGCAGCTGTGCTGCAGCCTCACCACGTGGTACTCATTTTGTCTGACCCCGTCGGGACGATTATGAAGGAGATGAGTGGTGGCAATGATGATTGTCGATGATAATGATGATGGATGATGTTCAGCTTTTTTTTAGTCGCCCCTGACCGCGACTTGAACTCGTGACTCACGACCGACGGCTGAACCCGTTGCCCTGACCCTGTGGGCAGATGGGTTGTTACAGAACAAGTCTCTTAGCTGTTGACTCATTCGTGAGGAATGCGAGCGTCATACACTCGTCTGCGCCGGGGTTTTCTCCAGACACCGCGGGTTTACCTGCCGCACGGGGCAACAAATTATACGTTGCACTCGAATAACGGAGAATAGTTTGTCAAAATACGGCGAGAAATCGATTTCTGACAATATGGGCGAGGCTCGGGAAGGCTTCGCATGCATCGTGAGTTGCAATAATCACGATGACGATTATCATCATCATCATCGTTGTTATTATTTATTAGATGTTATTCTCCCGGCGTGGTTGTTTAAACAAATGGGCACCTCTCTTAAATCACCCCCCCCCCCCACATCGCATCTCTCTGTCCGCGCAGCAGCATAAACGGGCACAGCACATCGATCGATGATTCGTGATTAGTATAATCATTATCGATCGCTTTTTATGATTGATAATAAAAAAAAAATGCAATAACATTATCACGATAATTAATGCCACTTTAATTTATGTTAATATCGTACTGGATATGTTGTGACGATGGTGATGACGCCAATTAACAACTACAGCCCACTAACTCGATCCCCCCCCCCTCAGGCCTCGCCCCTCCCCCCATACGTCACAGACTCTCGGTGCGCGTCACGATCCACCGCCACGCGGTCGTCCGCCTTTTCGCACTGGCAGCGGCGTGCAACCCGCTCGATGTCCCTTTCTCACGTCCCAGTGGAGCCGCCGTGCGGTGGAGGAGGGTGAGGAGGGTGAGGAGGGTGAGGAGGGTGAGAACCCTCCGGGGGAGGGATGGGGGGGATGGAAGCCTGAATCTGGATGAGTGAGGGCGAGCGTCGCTTGGGGTCGCGTCCGCGCTGGCTATTGCCACGGTGTCAGAGAGTTCCTCCTCGCACTGTCCCGTCTCCCCGAGTTAGGGGCCGTCCATAAATGACGTCACGCACCTGGGGGGGGGGGGGTTGAGAAATGTGACGTCACATCAAAATGCGCAACTTTAAATAAATATAGACAACACGTTCTACTTAATTAAATAGACTTTTAATTAATAGATGTTTTCTCCTACAACATCAGAGTGCAGCGCCACATTAAATACGCACTACAATGACAATAGTTTAAAGCGATTTGAAGCATGTTTTATCTTTTTTTTGGGGGGGGGGCAGAGCTTTGTGACATCATATTTGAGGGGAGGTCTGACTTTTTGTGACGCCGTATGACGAGGGGGGGGGAAATCGTCCAAAATCGCGTGACGTCATTTATGGACGGCCCCTGAGTGTTCCTCCTCGCACTGTCCCGTCTCCCCGAGTCCGTCAGCTCGCACGTGACCTCGACCCTTGACCCCAACTCGGCCGAGTCGGCAGACGCGACTCGTGACGAGGGCACGCGCAGCAACCCCAGAGCGGCACAGAGCAGAGGAGGCGTCTGTGCATGTGCACGCAAATTCAAAACAAACATCTGGCTGTCGCCTGATGATGCTAGTTGTAATTACTGGCGAAACGTCGTACTCGAATGGTAAAATGTTGTGGGTTTACCCTCCAACACGCCGGTGTGCTGCACTCACCACGAATTGGCATGTCTTTGTTTACGTGACAAACCTTACCAATTGGTTATGTCGGATGGTGGCGGGTTTAACGACACATTTATATATTTACGTGATCTATCCTCTATTATAGATATTGGTCGCGAAATCCCCCATAGAGCCGTTGCAGGGCCGGGTGCTCTTTGCACGAGGCTCTGGTCGGTCCCGTAGGCGCACTGGACTAACCACTACGCCATCGCTCCACACACACCCACACACACAACAACAGCCGCCATTCGCAACTAAGTGGCGGTGACGTCACCACGACGCTTGTGCCAGGCTATGTGCACCTTGAGGCCACGTGAAGTGTCGAACGCCCGCTGGCAAGGGGCAGACCCAGGTGCTACGGGTCGACAGACTGAGATGACTGGCTGATGCACCACCTGTGCCCCCTACTGTGCCAACTTGCTGTGCTTTAGCAACCCGGCGCTCCGCTCGTTGTTGTGAGCGTCGCTCCTCCGCCCTCCGTTGTTGTTGGAGGGCGACTGCCTCCAACTGCCCTGTAGCAGCGTCCTTCACGAGCCTCCTCCACAGAGGCCGATCTTGACACCGCTGGTACCAGTCATCGGCAAGTCCACTCAGCTCCACGTCCTCTTGTACCACATCACTCCATCTCTTCTCTAGCCCGTGCCGCGCCCGTTTAGCCCCCTCGATCCGGCCGAACAAAAGCTGTTTAGGCATGCGGTGATTGGGCATGCGAGCTACATGGCCCAGCCAACGCAGCCTTGCCTGCCGGAGGAGCTCACCGATGGGACTTTTCCCAGATCTTTCGAGGATTTGTGAGCTCCTCACACAATCCAGCCTGGTTAAACCCAGGATTGATCGGAGGCAGGCCAGCCTAAATGTTTCTAACCGGCGAAGATGCTCCATTAAGGGGGTCCACGTTTCGCAAGCGTAGAGAAGGGAGGGAATGACTGTGGCCGAGAAGACCTGAAGCTTCGTGCGGAGCGATAGACCAGGTATAGCTTCCACACAGCGTTACGCAACCGATGAAAAGATAATGCCGCTCGACTGATTCGGAGTGAGACCTCTGCTGTTAAACCGGAGCCGGTCATGAGCACACACAGACCCACACACACGCACACCAACACTCACACCCATACATACCCACACACACACTCCAACACACACGCGCACACACACCAACACACCCACACATACCCACACACACACCAACACGCACACACACACCAACACACACACCCACACATACCCACACACACACGCGCACACACACCAACACACGCGCACACACACCAACACACCCACACATACCCACACACACACCAACACGCACACGCCAACACACGCGCACACACACCAACACACACGCACACACACCCACACATACCCACACACACACCAACACGCGCACACACACCAACACACGCGCACACACACCAACACACCCACACATACCCACACACACACCAACACGCGCACACATATCAACACACGCGCACACACACCAACACACCCACACACACACCAACACACGCGCACGCACACGCATAGCGACGGTGCATGGACGCACAGTAGCAATTAACATTGCGTACACAGCAATTGCACGGCGCGTGAACCGTGCAGCATCATGATCCATGGGCAACAGCGCAAACCGCTGTCCATGGAGCAGACACGCGAGTTGTGACGTCGAAAGTCGTCTTTTGTTTCCCAAGGGAAGGTAAAACTAAAAAAATAAGTGGAAGGCAAAGATTAGAAAATAACGGTGAAGGGGTTAGCAATGGACGGGGAGAACGCGAGGAAGAGGTTCCAGCAGGGTGTCTCGAGGCTGCTGCACGGATAGGCGTCTGTCTTCACGGGGGCGGGGGGTCAGAGTTGGGTGGTGCCACAGATGAGTGTCGTGATTCACGGGAGGATTCAGCCGATGCGGATGCATTCTAAGATGTGTGAGCCGCTTTGCTGTAAGATGGCGCGCGGACGTGGGGCAGACAATGCGGAGGTGAGGAATTGCCGCCACCCGCTGTTGTGTCGCAGCAATTGCAGCTTGGGTTGTTGTTGTTTGGTTGTTGTTTGGTTGTTGTTGTTGTGGGGAGCGGTGGTGAAGCGGTTAGCGCTACGCTGCGTTATGAACCCAGCGACTAGGGTTCGATTCCCGCTCACGGCCAACACCGGTGACGATTGTCTGAACCAGTCCTAGGCCTCCCCCTAGGTCGACTCAGCCTCAAATGAGTACCTGGTTCGGTGGGGCGGTGTGTAAACATCGCCACTGGGGAGACAAAGGCGATCGGGCGTGGTGCTGGCCACCCACCTCCTCGTGTATCGTTCCGGCCTTCATAGGTGCTCGCTAACAGCACTTGCCCCTACAGTCTGTTAAGGCTTATACGGGGGGTCTTTGTTTTTATCTTTGTTGTCGCTGTGGCGGTTCCTTATCATTGGAGCGGCGGCGCAGTGGTTAGCGCACTGCTTGCCTGAACCGGGCCACCTGAATTCGATTGTCGCGAGTGAAATCCGAAGCGGTCCTGGGCCTGCACCCCCCCTGCCCCCCACCCCCCAACTTCACGAAGCCCCATCGGCCAGCGTTGTGAAGTATGGGGCCGTCCATAAATGACGTCACGCGATTTTGGCCGATTCTTGACCCCCCCCCCTCCCCCTCTCGTCACATGGCGTCACAAAATTCAGACTCCCCTCAAATATGACGTCACAAAGCTCTGCACCCCCCCCCCAAACCATGTTTCCATTTTGAAAATAAAACATGCTTCAAATCGATTTAAACTATTGTCATTGTAGTGCGTATTTTATGTGGCGCCGCACTCTAATGTTGTAGGAGAAAACATGTATTAAAAAGGAGGCGTTGGAAAGCTTAAATGTTGCATAAAATTAACTTGAAAATATTCAACGTCGCACTAAAACTGCAGATGTTCAGAATATGATGTTGAAATTATCTTATAATTATAAAATATTAAAAGTAATTATAACTATAAAAAAATACTTGAAACTTCGTAGTAGAACGGAGCAAAATGGAAAGTACAATTAAAAAATTATATATTCATTCCACATAATGAAAAGCCCTGGTAGAATCATTAGAATCAAAATGTTTAATAACGATCATAAAATAAAAATTACAAAATGTATGCTTCTCCATTCTCTCATGGGGAAGCAAAATGCTCCTTCACAGAATAAATAAAAGGTGACATTAGTCAATTCAAATAATCAAACAGTCGCCTTTATCTCGCTCGTGGCGATGTTTACTACGCACCGCACCGGGTACTCGTTTAAGGCCGAGTCGACCTAGAAGAGATCCCACGGGCAGACGCAGATCGTTGGCCACTGCTCTCGGCGCACGCACGTGGCCAGCTTCACGTGGAGCCGCAAGGCGGCGATAGTGACACGCCGCTTGCACTGCGCTGCTCGGCTCGGCTCTCAACGTCAAATTGCTCGTGGTCGTTCGAGACCCGACCCCACACGGGTTCGAGTCCCGTTCACGGCCAATACCGCCGGCGAATAACTGAACCGGACCCGGGCCTCCCCTGGTTCCGACTCGGCCTCAAATTAGTGCTGCGCCTTGCGCGGTGTGTCTGAAAACACCGGCGCTGAGGATAGAAAAGCGGCCGCGCGTGGTGCTGGCAATCCACCCCCTCGTGGACCGTGCCGACCTTCATAGGTGTTCGCAAACAGCACTTGCCCCAAAAGCCTCTTAAGGCTTTCATCTTCTTGGTTCTTTCGGTAAAGTCACGTAGAATGGAAATAATAAAATAATAAAAATAAAACATAATAAAATAATTCTCACGACGTTTCGGCCACAACGCAAGCAGCCGTCCTCAGGTGAAAAACAGGGCCGTCGGAAAGACAGCGTCTGAATGACGTCTGCTTGCGTTGTGGCCGAAACGTCGTGAGAATTATTTTATTATGTTTTATTTTTATCATTTTATTATTTCTCTTCTACGTGACTTTACCGAAAGAACCAAGAAGATGAAAGCCTCTTGAGGCTTTAAGTGGGCATCTTTGTCTCTGTGGCTATCCATGGAGACGCGGCACGGACGCGACCCTTGTGCGTGTGGATGTTGCGTGTGCTCAACGCAGTGTCTCCAGTCGCCGAACTGGTCACATCTCTGGGTCTAGCCTGGACATCGCTTGGATGGATGACCGCACACAGCTCGGCACAGCGCTGCCAGGGGCGATGTGATGGGGCAGTAGTGGGCAGCGCAGAATATTTAAATGCCGCGCTTAAATCCTACCACGTGTTCATTCACCATCCCGCGCCGATGACCACCAACCCGCACGGCGTGGGGAGGCCCTCATCCAGCAGTGGATTGACAAAAGGTTCCGTTACAGATACTAGACGTGTACATAGAGGGCCGGTGCTGGACAGGCGTGGTCCAATTGCGGTGATTTCAAGTTTTTTTTCAAGTTCATTTCATTTATTAGGTATAGCCCTGTGAGCCATTCGGCTCTTGAATCGGGTGCAACCGCAACAAACAGAAAACAAAAACATGAACAAGAAAATATCTTAAAGTGATTGAGTGCAAACAGAAAATCGAAGAAAAGACAGCAAAATATTGCAGTAAAAGCACCGTACATCAACGCTGTGTGCAAAAATCCCAGTGGGATGCAAGTCAAACAACAACAACAACCACAAGACAACTTAGATTAAGGCCATCAGTCTAACTCTGTACTACAACAAACAAACATGGCCAAACCAAAAAACTTTCGAAAATCACCAAAATAAAGCCATAAAAGCAATGAAACAGTGATCATAGGAACTGTGACCGAATTTTCACAATAAACGACGTCAACAACATGTACTACCAAATTTCGATTTAAAGCTTTCGTGAATGCAGGGATTCATCTTCTTGGTTCTTTCGGAAAAGTCACGTAGAATGGAAATAATAAAATAATAAAAATACAACATAATAAATTAATTCTCACGACGTTTCGGCCACAACGCAAGCAGCCGTCCTCAGGTGGAGAGCAGGTCTGTCGAGGAGACAGAGTCTCATTCAGACCTGAGGGACGGCTGCTTGCGTTGTGGCCAAAACGTCGTGAAAATTATTTTATTATGTTTTATTTTTATTATTTTATTATTTCCCTTCTACGTGACTTTACCGAAAGAACCAAGAAGATGTACTACCAAACTTTTGATTGGAGCTCGCGAGGAGCGAGGGTCTGCCTCGTACGGTCAGCGCTAGGGTCAGAGACTTCGCGCTGGTCTCTCCGATTGTCAGGGGCGCCACGCAACTCGTAAGGGAGCGTGCCTCCCTCCGGGGTCAGACAAGGCCATTCCGCGTCGCATGTTCCGCCGTGAAGGGTTCACGTGTCACGCCGGCTTTACATAAAACAAGTTAAATAATTGATATTTACGGTTATTGTTATTATTCCTATACACCGCACCGTAGCGATGGCTCGTGCAGTAAAACACGACCGCGCGTGGCCGTAATAAAGCGTAATAAATGTTTAAACCGAGCAGAGATAAGAAAAAAGCCATAAATTAACTCTTGGTGTGCACAATAACACAGCCATGTAAAACAAACATGACGTTCGTGTTCGCATTTGCAGCTGGCAGGGTCAGCTGCTAACCCCTGCGCCACCCAACTCACCACCCGAGTTCAATTCACGCTCACGACCAATAACAGCGGCGAATATCTGAACCGGTTCTGGGCCTCCCTTAGGTCGACTCAGCCTGAAAATGAGTACCAGGTGATTTGTCCAAACAGCAGCACTGGCAGCGCTCGGGAGGCAAAATCAGCCGGGCGTGGTGCGGCCCACCCTACTCCCTCATTGGTGCAGCACTTGCCCCAACAGTCTGCAAAGGCTATACGGGGGATCTTTGTCTTTGCGCGCGTGCGTGCGCGTGCGTGCGTGCGTGCGCGCTCCTCTGCCCGCGGCGGCTGTTTCGGCGCCGTGGCGTCGTGACCTCGCCGCCACGCGCGCTCCACTTCCCCTCCCGCAGCACTCGCGCACCGCTCAGCGGTTCTCTGCCTGCGCGCCGCCGCCGCCTCCTCCTCATTGCATGGATATCCTGCAGCAGCAGTAGCAGCAGTAGCAGCAGTAGCAGCAGCTGGTGGTGGTGGTGGTGGCCACTACCAGCAACTTTCCATAGCGCTCTTGCCGACGTGACGCTGCTGCTGCTGCTACTGTCGCGTGCTATTACTGCCGCGTGCTGCTGCTGCTGCAGCTGCAGCTGCTGTTGCATCAGTTGTTTCTGTTGGAATTTACTACGAATCAAAGCGTCACGGGGGGAAACCCATGGCCGAGTCCGTTGCGGAGGCCGCCGCGGTGGCATCTGGGTTTGTCTGCGTGCAGCACTCGCCCAACATGAGCACCTACAGGAAGGTGAGTGGCTTACGCGAGTGATGGGTGCGCGCGTGCGTGCCTGAGTGAGTACGCGAATGAGTGAATGAGTGCATCAGTGAATGGGCGAGTTAGTAACGCGAGCTGCGAGGAGGAGGAGGATGATGAGAGGGAATGCAGCCCGGCTACGGGTAGCTCCCGCTCGGCTTGGTGGCCCGCGCGGAAAAAAAATGTTTGCCTCGGATTCACCGCACGTCGCACGAGAAGACGCATCGTCTCGCGCTCGGTTCATTCTGCTCTGCCTCTCTGTTGTCGCTGTTGCTCCACTCTCGCTCGTGTCCCCTTGCGCTCGGTCACGTCCCCGACGACGATCGCGCCGCACTCGGCATGAATACGAGAGAGAGAACGCGCGGCGCCACGCAGCAAGTTGCTGCTGGAAGAGCGGAGACCCCCCCTCCCCACCCCACTCCCCACACTCCCCACCCACCCTTAGCGAGTCGCCTCGCGTCCGTGGCAGTGCAATGCGGCATTTGTGCGAGCGGCGAGCGAAGGCTGGGACCCGGGGACCTGTAACCCGCGACTTAGAATCCGACCGGGGAGTGGAGAGGGGGGGTTGGGGGGGGGGGGTCCTCGCCAGCCCCCCCCCCCCTCTCTCCCACGCGGCCTGCTCAGCCCTGCGGAGCTTCACTTGAAGCGACCCGTCAATGCCAGCGGCCATCAGTCACAATCAAAAGCCAATTCGTTTTAACCTTTAGCGTTCGCTACGCGAGCCCTTAAGAGCCGCGTGCCCGTGAGCGCCGCTGCTGCTGCTGCTGCTGCTCTGGGGGGGGGGGGGGGTCACAAGGGGCGAAATGAAAGCCGCTTATGACGCGCGCACCCCCCCCCCCCCCGAACGGCCGCCACGTGGCCCCCGCCTGTCCCTTTCATTAATTTTTAACCTCATTATTATTTTTGGAGGCGACGGAAGGGTTCGTTTGAAATTAGGCTTTTGGTTAAAGGGAGACGGGAAGTTGCACCCCCCCCCCTCCCCCCCTCCCCCCGAGGGATGGTGGTGTTGATGTTGTTTGTTGGTTGGTTGGTGGTTGTTGTTGTTGTTGGTGGTGGTGGTGGTAGTGGTGGTGAACCCGCTGTGGTGTAGCAGCGAGAAACGAATCAAAACAGAAGCCCCCGATAACACGTGACGCGTTACCTGGCAGCTGTGTGGGCCGCACGTTACCCGGTTACCGTGAGTGTCCGTCACACGCTACCTCCCTCGACGTTACCCGCATGGAGCCGGGAGAAATGTTGTCGAAACGCATTTTGCCGCCCAGACTGATTCACTGTCAATGCAAGTGACCCGAGTCTCTACGGCTTGGGTAATCCAAAACAGCGCTTCACGACCGAGTCTCAAGTCGTCTTATTTTAGGAGGAGGTCTGCATCGGAATATTTGGCGAATTCCATCACTGGAGCATGCTCGGAGTAACCCCGGAGAAAGCCCCACGCATGCGAGAATTGTAAACGCGAAAACCTCTGCACAGCAGAGAGATTCAAGAATCCATTGCTAGCACTGGCAACTCACGGCCAAGCTCGTAGCCCAAGTCCACAGCACGTGCCAGTTCCCAGGCAGAGTGGCCGCCCACCCGAGCACCGTCCAGACGTGACGCCGCAGAGCTTACGAGACGCGGCGGAGAATTCGGGGCGCATTCGTTTAGGTAGGCCTCGGTCAACCGCAAGATCCACAGCGTTGTCGGTTCGTCCGCGTGGCAGCTGCCGCAGCGACGTCACAGTGGTGCGGTGACGTCGCCACTGTGACGTGGCGTCAACCAACTGTGACGTCGGGTGAAACGTCACAGCCGCCGGCGTGAACCAAAAGTGATCACGAGGGCTGACGATTTTCGTCGAAGTTACACAGAATCGGAATAGTGTAATGTGTTCCATACCGGAGGAATCCGAGGAGCTGTAAAGCTCTGTTTTGCAGATGTCCAGTCGGGCTGGGTAGGAAGGTTACAACAACAACCAAAAAATAGACGATTGGAGTTCAAAGTACCAGTATAGGTAAACAAATCACCCCAACACATACAAACGAGATTGAACAAATGAAATTGAACAATCCCAATCTTACCAGGCAAAGCCCATTGAGGTATGAATTTATTTTTCAACAGTTTATTTTCTAAATGATAGCTCAACAAAGTGGCTTATCATTTCGACCTTTATAGCAGCAAAATAATATAAATAGTCTAAACGCATGTTTAGACACACACATAGTAACCGACACCCATTACTGCACAAACTTGTCTGTCAGAGCCTCCTAAAAGCGAGTCTTGAGACTAACGGGTGAAGAGGAAAAATAATAATTTTCACGTCCTTACTTCCGCCATATGAATTAAAATCTCAAATTACGAATAATTTAGGATAAATTGTTCGTAAAAACTCGTGGCTAGTTGCGAATTTTGCACTTCTTGTGAACTTTCAGCATTCTACTGTAACACCACAATTGACACCTATTGTCCAGATCATTTCATTCACATGCAGACGGTCACCCGAGATAGATTGATATCACGTTAGATGGTTGAACCCTCATCGTTAACTAATTACATTGGTAATAAAGATGGGGGGGGGGGGGGCAAAACAATATATACAACTCAATAACTTTCATTGACAACGTAAAGTCGAACATCCGTGGTCTTCCGCAACTAACAACGGACGATGGAACTCGACGAGAAACCGCCACGACTTTCCGACACCACATAACCCTCCCCGACACCTGCCCGGACCGTCGTGGCAAACTCGCGCCCGCACGGCGCGTGCAACCGGTATCTCGAACTTCTCTCCCACCGTACCCAGAGACAAACCCCGTTGCCAATGGGAGGCGCGTGCTCTTGCCGAGGTGCCACAGTGCGGGAGCGCGGGGCGGTGGGTCGGTCTCCCGCGGCGGCTCGTGCCGATGACTCCTCTTCGTCACGCCTCTTCGCCACGCGGCTGTAGCGCAGCCCCGACCATGCGCGCTCTCCAAGGTACCTGCAGTTCCCCCCCTGGGGTGTCTCTCGACAAGTGGATCTGTACAGTTCCCCCCTGGGTGTCTCTCGCCACGTGGATCTGTACAGTTCCCCCCCCTGGGGTGTCTCTCGCCACGTGGATCTGTACAGATCCCCCCTGGGTATCTCTCGCCACGTGGATCTGTACAGTTCCCCCCTGGGGTGTCTCTCGCCACGTGGATCTGTACAGTTCCCCCCCGGGGTGTCTCTCGCCACGTGGATCTGTACAGTTGCCCCTGGGGTGTCTCTCGCCACGTGGATCTGTACAGTTCCCCCCTGGGGTGTCTCTCGACACGTGGATCTGTACAGTTCCCCCCTGGGGTGTCTCTCGACACGTGGATCTGTACAGTTCCCCCCTGGGGTGTCTCTCGCCACGCGGATCTGTACAGTTCCCCCCCTGGGGTGTCTCTCGCCACGTGGATCTATACAGATCTCCCTGGGTATCTCTCGCCACGTGGATCTGTACAGTTCCCCCCTGGGGTGTCTCTCGCCACGTGGATCTGTACAGTTCCCCCCTGGGTGTCTCTCGCCACGTGGATCTGTACAGTTCCCCGGGGTGTCTCTTGCCACGTGGATCTGTACAGTTCCCCCCCCGGGGTGTCTCTCGCCACGTGGATCTGTACAGTTCCCCTCTGGGGTGTCTCTCGCCACGTGGATCTGTACAGTTCCCCCCTGGGGTGTCTCTCGCCACGTGGATCTGTACAGTTCCCCCCCGGGGTGTCTCTCGCCACGTGGATCTGTACAGTTCCCCTCTGGGGTGTCTCTCGCCACGTGGATCTGTACAGTTCCCCCCTGGGGTGTCTCTCGCCACGTGAATCTGTACAGTTCCCCCCCGGGGTGTCTCTCGCCACGTGGATCTGCACAGTTCCCCCCTGGGGTGTCTCTCGCCACGTGGATCTGTACAGTTCCCCTCTGGGGTGTCTCTCGCCACGTGAATCTGTACAGTTCCCCCCTGGGGTGTCTCTCGCCACGTGGATCTGTACAGTTCCCCCCTGGGGTGTCTCTCGCCACGTGGATCTGTACAGTTCCCCTCTGGGGTGTCTCTCGCCACGTGGATCTGTACAGTTCCCCCCTGGGGTGTCTCTCGCCACGTGAATCTGTACAGTTCCCCCCCGGGGTGTCTCTCGCCACGTGGATCTGCACAGTTCCCCCCGGGGTGTCTCTCGCCACGTGGATCTGTACAGTTCCTCCCCGGCGTGTCTCTCGCCACGTGGATCTGTACAGTTCCCCCCTGGGTGTCTCTCGCCACGTGGATCTGTACAGTTCCCCCCTGGGTGTCTCTCGCCACGTGGATCTGTACAGTTCCCCGGGGTGTCTCTTGCCACGTGGATCTGTACAGTTCCCCCCCGGGGTGTCTCTCGCCACGTGGATCTGTACAGTTCCCCCTGGGGTGTCTCTCGCCACGTGGATCTGTACAGTTCCCCCCTGGGGTGTCTCTCGCCACGTGGATCTGTACAGTTCCCCCCCGGCGTGTCTCTCGCCACGTGGATCTGTACAGTTCCCCCCTGGGTGTCTCACACCACGTGGATCTGTACAGTTCCCCCCTGGGTGTCTCTCGCCACGTGAATCTGTACAGTTCCCCGGGGTGTCTCTTGCCACGTGGATCTGTACAGTTCCCCCCCGGGGTGTCTCTCGCCACGTGGATCTGTACAGTTCCCCCTGGGGTGTCTCTCGCCACGTGGATCTGTACAGTTCCCCCTTGGGGTGTCTCTCGCCACGTGGATCTGTACAGTTCCTCCCCGGCGTGTCTCTCGCCACGTGGATCTGTACAGTTCCCCCCTGGGTGTCTCTCGCCACGTGGATCTGTACAGTTCCCCCCTGGGTGTCTCTCGCCACGTGGATCTGTACAGTTCCCCGGGGTGTCTCTTGCCACGTGGATCTGTACAGTTCCCCCCGGGGTGTCTCTCGCCACGTGGATCTGTACAGTTCCTCCCCGGCGTGTCTCTCGCCACGTGGATCTGTACAGTTCCCCCCTGGGTGTCTCTCGCCACGTGGATCTGTACAGTTCCCCCCTGGGTGTCTCTCGC